TGAAGTATGTATCACCATAGATATATAAAACGTCAACCATGAGGTGGAATGAAATAAAACAAGTGAAGTTTGATGATATTGTTGAAGTTATTGAAAAAAAATCATATTCACTGGAAGTTCTATATACATATGTAAATTGAGCTTATATAGTTGACATGGAACGTTACTTAAATACCTTGAAAATTCTTCACGTAATAAACAGAGAGGACCGAGCGCCACAAAACGTGGTTCTTACACATTCGTAATTGTTTTAGATACATACTCGCTGGTTTTTATGGCTTCTGATATCACCTTCATAAAGTTAGTTATATAATTAAGAAAAAAGTCGAGGGTTCTAGTTTAGCCTGTGTTTTATACGAGACATTTGTTCTGTAAAACTATTTTGCTAAGAGATTTAGACGAATTCAGTCCGCAGAGGACGATTCAGCAGATAATTTGTTAAAAAGTAACATCTGGTTCTTAGCTTACTGTGATATAATGATTGTGAGCTCAGATATTATGTATTATGTATTAGTTACACGGTCGTTTCGTGTCAGTTGATTATATCGGTACCTGTTTTTATATATGTTTGTGTCATGTCACAGACAGTGGGTGTCAGTGTGGCACGTATCTGTTCTGGCGACCTTGTCTAGTGAAAGGTTACTTAGGCGGGCGCACGATATCCTTGTTGATTAAAAAATAATACGATTTATTTGTTTCTTCTTATGTTTCACAACATGGCGCCTGTAGTCCAGCTGTGGGAGCATCAGTAGGCAAACAAGACGAAATTTATCACTTCGAACTCCTCTCTGGTTCGAAAGTCATGTTAAAATCTTCATAGCCACGAAAGCCTCGATTCTAATATTAAATGATATAATGGCATTTAAAATGGAGTTTTTAATAGCAGTTTTTTGACACAGTTCTTGTTATAACACCGAATGAAATATTTTTACCGAATTAGGCACATTTTTGTTACGCCCTTGCTTAAATGAATTTAAATAGCAGAAAAACAAAAGAATCCGTCATCATTGCTTCATTAAGATACTGTTGCACTAATAATATTGGGCGTTGAGTGAATAAAGGAATTGAAATGCCATTATTACCTACGTTACCAATAATAATCTTATCTATTCTAATATTATAAAGTATAAAAAGGATAGATTTTTCGTTTGAAATAAAGCATTGAAAAGTCTCCGAAACTACTGAGACTATTTTAAAATTTCTTGCATTTACGAGAAGCTACATCATACGCAGGTGATATAGACTAAAATTTACGCGAGCAAAATTGCGGGAAAACTGAAAGTGTTATATATAATTAAACCTCCAGGATTAGAGCGTGATTTCCCTATGAAAAAATTCACTGTATATACGCTAATATATAAAGAAATGTTATTGTGTGTGGAAAATGTATATCGGACTTCTATGAAATAAGTTATTCACAGCTAGAGTAATTTAACACGTCGCTGAAGGGGCGAACCATTCAGTTAACTGGTACTTAATGATAGTCATTCAATCCACACGTTTTATGGCTATAAAGTTAATGGAATGGGACTGGCGGTTTTTTAAAGTTCACAATATGCCTACAGGGATCTTTCTGTGAGTTCTTTAAGCCGCTTCCAGACTGTGGTCGATTATGTTGACTGTATATATTGACGCAATTTACTTTTAGTCCTTGCTTATATTTTTATTTTAAAATAAAAGCAGTATAAGTAAAGTATACAATAGTATTATTTATTTTTTGATAAGGTATATGGTGAATATATTATTATGTACAGTCGGCCAAGAAAGTGGTCTACCACCCTAAGGTTGAATTTCGCGTGTTACGTCAACTAACAACAAGGTTGATTTTCCGTAGCATTAATTTTTTGACACGTCAAGTACACGTCATTATTGCTATCTTCATCATTTTGACGTAACCTTTGACAGTAATTATCTATACCTATAATAAAAATGTAACAAGGTTACATTTGTAAGATATTTTGGAAAAAAAATATATGGACGGCCTTCATAAGACTAATAGAAGCCAAAAATATTTTTTTTTCTGTCTGTCTGTTTGTATGTTTAAATACTTTAGAGTTAGAATATCGTAAATAAAGTCTTATAGTCTACAAATATCCTACATTAGAATGTAGATTAATTATATTTTAATACAAATAAAAAAAATCAGTAGGTAGTGAAATGCTATGCGTAAGAAGCTATGCGTGTTATAGGTCTGAATATACTGAGATAACGGATAACAGAAATGAATAGCGACGAAAAACATATTGCGCCGACCCATAGCTTAGTGCGAGACAAGGGCTAAAACTAGAAGAGATAGTGAAAATGCTAATTCTTTGGTTGTTAAAAAATATATACAATTCTTTTATAAAATTATAATTCTTAAAATCTTGTGTAGCCGCCATCTGCCTCTATAACAGCTTGGAGACGTTCCCTCATCGAGCCCACCAGTCTTGAGCAGATATCAGACCCACGTGTTTCCTCCCAAACCTCATTGCAGTGCCCTTGTAGTGCTTCTGCTGTTCGTTCATTACGGTTACACCATCTCTGAACCATAAGACCCCACATATTTTCAATAGGGTTGAGATCTGGCGATTTTGCAGGCCATGGTATCAAGTTTATTTCCGGATGTGCATCAAACCAAGCACGTGTTACCCTTGCTTTATGTAAGGGACAGTTATCCTGTAAATAATTAAATTGACGCATTTCATTTTCTGGATAAACGTTCCTGGACGGATGGCAACATAGCATTTTGGAGAACATCAACATAATCTGATGCCGTTGCTCGTGGTGGCAAAAAGGTCAAGTCTCCAACACCATCAGCAGTCATCCATCCATACAAATTTACCGAGATACGACCCGATTCTCTATTTGGCACGACATGATTTTGCGTGTATCGCGTTTTATTGAATCGCCAAAGGTGTAGACGCCCGTGTTGACTGGATTTAAAAGTTTTCTCGTCACAGAAAACAGTGTTACTCCAATCAAAATCCAAATATTCTATGGCGAAATTTAATCTGGCCATTCTATGAGCGTCAGTCATATAAATTTTCTTTGCATAACGCCTGTGATGTAAGCCCATGTAATGTAAATGGTTTCTAATGGTTTGGAGAGTCACGTCAAATATGTCGGCAAAATAACGCGTTGGTATAAAGCCAGATTCCTCATAACTCCGTCTCATGAAGACTCGCTGAGTATCTGATATTTCAGGTCTACGACCGCTACGACTCCGAGCGTTCAAATTCCCCTCCTCGCTTTCTCGTCTTATCCAAAGACGGACAGCTTGTCTCTATAATCAAAAATAAAATATGAACAGAAAAAATAAAAAAAAAATTTTACACTCGGACTTGGTCTGAGATTTTACATTAAACTCACGTCAGACATAATAATACTTACCGACACATTTAATTCTCTAGAAATCTCACTAATATTCAAACCATCATTGTGTAATGCGATTATTTGTGCTCTTTCGTTAATGGATAAATTTCGGGGCATTGTAGTGTAAATTAATTAGGAAAATACCTACGGAAAATGCCGAGAAAATATTTGACATGAATTGTCAAGTGATATATTCTTTTTCAGTAAAAGAGTTTTCGTAACAAAATAGTTTCCACTTTGAAGTGACCTACTTAAATTTTAAATTTATGAAATATTGTGAAGACTATTTGTTGTTGCAAATTATTATCTAATGCATAGGCTGCAAAGGTCAAAATAACATTTGTGCTCTACGACAACACGTCAGCATTGTGCATCTCTTTTATTGTTTGTATGCAATTCTAAGATTCGCCTTTAGCGATGCTTTAAAGACACGGGAAATGTTGTCAAAACTGGTAGACCACTTTCTTGGCCGCGTATACGTTTACCGTCAGTCGATTTTAGTATGGAAACCGACACAGCACCCCTAGCGGTAGCTAGCAAGAACTACAAATCTCTATACAACAATCCTTAATGCGCTAAATAGTGAACCTTTTAACGTAATACGCTTACCACTCTGCACGTGGCCTAACTAGATGCAATAGTGGTGTGGTCGAAGGATTGTACTATATTCACGTATAGCTGTGTCTCATTTTAACAACTCTACCATTTAAGAGCTCATGATAAGATTCCATTCGCAGAAACGAATAAACTTTTTTTATAATCAAACTTTATCGAAGAATGATACGAGATCGTATCTCGCTAAATGAGATTACATTCGGAGAATCGTAAGAGGTAACACTTTATGAATTACCCTCTTTTTTATTCTGTTAATGTGATTGGCAATTGCGAGCCGTGTATTTACAGGAAATAAATACGCCCCATACGCGAGCTTTGAGCTCTTTATGACTCAATCAAACATGATTATGAACTCAATCGACTTGTCCATTAACGGTAAAGTTTTCTTAGTATTTGTAAATAAATATTTAAAGCACTGAATGCGGTAATGTACTGTATGGAGTTGGAAAAGGTGTGTTCTTTCAGCTCTAGAATAATTGATATATTTATTACGTATAAAAATCAGCAAATTTTAAGTATTGTATTTGATGAATTTTGTATTCATAGTGCTATATTTTAAATAGAATTAGCATTGTGTCTATAAAATTACTTTAAATTGCTACAAAATTATATTTCTTATACATGAATAACGGTCTGAATCTCTTTCCAATGACTGATGTCTGACTGACTTTTAAGTACTATTTTTATCAAACTGCTAACGACTCGACGATCATTTAAAAAATTAAAATTAGAAACGAAAACCTTTTTAAGTGACGTTTAAGGTAGGTCTAGTAAGGTCTGAGACCGGGAGAGAGATTGAGAAACCGGGTATAAGTTTTAATACTAAATTGAGTTTAATTTGTGCAACAGAATTGTCAAAATTAAATCCTTCTAAGTAATTTAACCTTTGGTTTTATTAGAAAAATAAAAATTTAATAATCATAACATAACAAATTACGTTAAATTTCTTTAAAAAAAGGTTTTAAAACTTAGATAGATAACAAATCCCATAATTTTGAATAATCCAATTAATATATGTTTTACGGTTTCAGATCAAAGATGGCGCTGCTGTGGTGCGTGGTTGCCTGTGCGTTGGCAGGCGCGTTCGCGCAGTCAAATTACGATTCGCAAGCTAACAATATAGAATATCAAGGGGAGGGGCTGCCGGAGCAAACAGTTTTAGATGGAAAGGTCAGTATTAAAACAAAATTATGTCTTTAAAGCTTCACGTCGTTTACTTTGGGGGTAGATAGAGAAAATGGAGCGCTACAAGGCACGGTCTTTACACAAACATATCTACCGTCTCCTCAACTTCATTAAATTTTTTTTACATTCACGTTGGTTTTCATACTTCTACACGGAGAGCTTGTGACATAAAATGTGTAAGAGTTTTCTAAAGCTTGATATATAGCTGTGTACTCAGACCAAATAAAAAGTATAGACGGAGTTTTGCCTAACAGAAAAGTGAAGCCGACAAAACTACGCCTCGGCGTATTCGTACACAGTTTCACGCACACATACATAACGAAACTACGCCTTCCTTATCAGTCTAACTAAAGACAGTGTGCGGAACGTTTCATTATAAAAAAAAAACAAAAATTTCTTATTAACTGCCGATTGTGTAGTAAAAGGTTGTAAAACCAATCCTCAAAAAATAAAAAGCAGGATGGAATCACATTTTACACGTAAGTATTGAAGAAAACTTACATTTTCAGTAATTCAAAAATAAAATTTAAGTAATTGCTTGGAACACAAAACCTCGGCCAAATATTACCATCGTTAAACGTTTTTATTTACCCCGAAATCAGGTAACTTTAATTTTATAACGCGTTATTTCTAACAAAACACAAATAACGTTATGTATTTTTTTCTTGTTGTATGGAAATGATATTTATAATAAATTTTGCATTCAAAATGCTACATAGAGGTCCAGATCACAGATATTGAAGTGTTAGTATAAGGAAGTAAAAAATAAAAAACGGGTTTAATTTTTTACTTCTTTATTTTTACTAAACGGGTTTGCATACATTTTTTCATTTCCAAACAGACATCAAAATGTGAAAGAGAAGTGGATTTCAGTCATTCGTAATAGTCGAAATGAACCTTCATGGAATCCAACTTCGGGCAATGTAGTTTGTTCGACTCATTTTAAGAGCGATGATATGTATTATACTATAAAAGTGTTACGTCGAATAAAGCAAAACTTATATCAAAGGTTTCAAACTTTCTATATATTAAAATTTTAGTTAACATGGTGGAAGTTTTTAAACTTAACTTAAAAATTAATTATATAGTCTCTCTAATGTATGGCCTCCAATAATAATTACCTACTCTTAAAGATTTTAGAATATCTATGCTGATATTGACAAACGAATTTACATTATATTATTAAATAGCATAGCGTTAACGTTAACTCTATAACGTCGTAACGTTAAGTTATTGGGGTGTTTTTAATGACTATGGTCACACTGGCACGCACACTACAATTGCTAAAAATCGGCTTCACTTTGTTATTCATCGAACTCCGTCTTTACTTTTTATTTGGTCTGAGGCTGTGTATGTATGTTTAAATACTAAGCATACATCATTCAGTACCCAGTGCGGAATAAGACGCTAGAGCAACTGGTAGGGCGATTGCTGAATATGTTTGTTTTAATTAATGCAAGTCTGAGTTGATTAACTACTAGCTTTTGTCCGCGACTTCGTCCGCGTGGTGAAGTTACTTTGAGCAGCATTTCTAATGAATATTTATTTATTCGTCCCATTAGGTACTGATAGATTCAAATTAATATACAAACAGCCTCCATCATCCCTTATTTTATCCCCATGGGGGTTGAATTAATCAAAATCCTATTTAAGCGGACGTCTTCATCATAGTAGCTCCAATCATTAATTTAAGTTCAATCAGTCGAAAATATAAGATTTATATAAACTGTCTTCCCCTATTTTATCCCCTTGGGGGTAGAATTGATCAAAATCCTTGCTTAGCGTATGCCTACGTCATAACATCTGCATGCCAAATTTCAGCCCGATCCGTCCAGTGGTTTGGGCTGTGCGTTGTTAGATCACTATGTCAGTCAGTCACCTTTGAATTATATATATTTAGATTATTTTTCCGTGGGATTGCGTCATTTTCCCGCGGTAAAAAATAGCGTATGTCCTTTCTTGGGTATTAACATACCAAATTTCATGCAAACTGGTTCAATGGTTTAGGCGTGATTAAGTAACAGACAGACAGAGTTACTTTCGCATTTATAATATTTGTATAGTATAGATAAACTTGTACATATTTAGATAGTCGGTTTCACATAAACGTTGACGTTTGTTAACAAATCAATTTCACGCCATTAGCATTTCCAAATAATTTAAAATCATTGACTTAATCAATAGTTTGACTGTATATATAAGATATTTATTTAAATTTGCATATTAAAACACAAATAAATTTTTAATAGCCATAATTACGGAAATCTTACCGTCTTAAGTTTAAAACTTCAATACTCGGAACGAAAAATGGATCGTTTTTTTAATAGAGGTTGAATGAATAAAATATATTTAAACGAAATGTATTCGGTAAGCATTTAACATTTTCTTATATTATTGTTGTCATAACAATAGGGATGATGACTGGGTAAAAAAAATGCAATTGTATTTAGTCCGTCAGTCAGATAATAGAAAAATATTGGATACGTATTTTTTTTTTACTTCAATTTAACAAGAAATAGTATTGATAACAGGTATTAAAATTGAGGAGTGGGGGCTCGCTACGTCACAGTTGAGTAGAAAATGTACTCTAACGTGACGTCATGCGAAATTTCAACTTAATGTAACGCCGTAATTTTATGATTACGAAAAAAATACGTGTTTAATATTTTTTAACACTCTACCTGACGGACAAACAAACAAAAATTAGTCATCATCCCTATTAAACCTAACTATAATAAAATTTTATATTTTTTCTGACTCGGGATCATCTTGTTGATGTAAAAATATGTTTATTGAATCCTGTTTTATAAATTATTTTAAACATTATTTTATATGTATGAAAAAAAAACCGCACCAAAATCCATTGCGTAGTTTAAAAGATTTAAGCATACATAGGAATATAAGGACAAAGAATGCGACTTTGTTTCATACTGTGTAGTGATAAGCTTTTCGATAATTTCCCAGTCCCGATCTGATAGATGTATGTATATACAAAATTGGATTTTAGTCGACAAACTTCTGTTATCGATTTGTTTGAACAAAACCTTGAGTTTAAAAATAAATCTGTAGCCAAATTAACAGTTAATTATAAAGTAATGGTCATAACATAAAGATACCAGTTCAATAGTAACAAATTGCTTTAACAGAGCAATGAACCTTGTAACGAAACAAAAATTACCTAACAGTATAACGAGTTGTTCGTTAATAGTTTAATTAAATTTTTACTGTCTTGTTCAAAGATGTTGTTTCACTTTAAGTGAAAAATAAGTATTAGAGTTCATGAAATTCAAGACTCACATTTTATTTACTAAACAATATTATAAGTATGACCGTTATAGACCAAGTGATTAATGGGGCATTATAAAAAAGATTCATATAGTTTGAGAAACACCTAATATGAGAGGGAATATGAACTATAGAAATAATCAAATAGTTTGAGCCAATGAATACGAGTTTATATGTTATGGACGAAGGACGAAGTGATAAAATAAGGAATTATTCATAATGACAAGCAACTTAGGGCATAATAGATAATAATATTTTTAACCTCCTTATTTATCACATTGCCCTGACGTTATATGAATATTACCAAGTGGTGTTCGGGCTATGTGATAAAAATATATTATACATATTACATTGTACGGGATGCGGAGAAGAGAGCAAGTAGGGAAGGACAGCAATTAATTCTACAGAAGAGTCTCTCAATAGGACAATGAATTTAAATTTTAAGTCAATAATTTTTAAATGCCACTTATGCCACGTTATTGCTGTGGTTTGAAGAAAACCTCTGCGGATTGATGGGTGTTATGGACCAACGGCTAAATGTATCTTCTGAAGCATAAAAGAGCTCTATATAATACATTTTTGGTCGACTATCCCTTAAAGAAAGTTGCAACAATCGTATCGCAGACCGAGTGCACTAACCATTGCGCCATAGAGCTCCTCCTATGGTACGTATGGGTTATGATGTCTAAATTCAAATTATCGAAATTCTGCGAATAATAATTTAAAACCTTTAACTTAACTCAATTATAAAATCTGGATGAAATGAATCCACCATCCTTGTATGCAACTCAAAGTTTTATCGAGTCAACTGGTCCGTGGATTTTAATGGGCAAGAACAATACTAATAAATCGTTTGCCCAACTATTATCGACTTTATAGAGTGGGCTTGCTTTGACGTCCGTACGCATAGAACGAAGGGTCTGCGATATGATAGATACTGCTATTACTGATATAGCCTGTAGCACTTCTATTCTTGCTACGTTTCCATTGGAACTATAAGCGTAATAATATACTTATTTATTATAATTTCCGAATTTATTCCGACAGCACCTAATTTATATCTTATCTGTGTTCAAAACTTTTTCAATGTCAACCAGTCAAAATCTGGATATCATTATAAATTGAATTTTGTTTAAATATTTACATGTTTTGGTAAAAAATAGTAAAGTTACTAAAGGAATTGGAATAAACAAAATATTCAAAGTTAACTAACTTGGTCATGTTGAAAGGCAGTTTGTACTTTGTAGAAGTTTTTATGGTAACGATTTGGTGCAAATGAGCATCGCACACGTTTCCATAATTTTCAATATAGACAATTGCGACCCTAGAATTGAACACTGAGGAACAATGTTATATAGGAAATTCTCAACATTTTAAGTGAATTTATTTCGAAGTCTGAAATTAATGTCAAAATATTATACCAAATGCAAAATGCTTTGGATATACGTAAGTCAACAATACTTAAGCATTTTTAGAATTTATGTATAGATTTCTTAGGTTATAAAGCGATTAAAAATAAAATCAATTTCTATAGAACGTTCTTTATGGAATCCAAACTTTAATTCACTTGAATCTTTAATTCACTAGAACTTGTTTTTAATCGACTTCAAAATTCAGAAGGAGAATGTTTGACGCCGATGTGTTTTTTTCTATAAATTTCTTAAAGAACCTGTAGCATGTGTCCCATTTTATTTAACAAGGACTTTTTAAAACTTTTGAAACAGCTGATTGTTTTGAAGAGTCTCTATTTGTATAACGTCTTTAATTTATTGTTAACGTTAAAAGTAAAAAATGGCCCGAATGGCATCGAGAAAAGGATGGTACGTCCGTGCCCTTTTTACTTTTTCGCTCGACTTGGCGGAGGCACTTCCGCGCCTCCAGTTTGTTAATTATCGGCTGGTTTCTGAGTTGAGAAAAGTACAAAATTTCAACTGATTATTCTCAATAACTTGAGTTATTTTAAGGCAAAACGTCCTTGTCTATAATTATCTTAAAGAACCTGTAGCATGTGTCCCATGTTCATTTAACAAGGACTTTTTAAAACTTTTGAAACACCTAGTACTGTTTTGAGACGAGTCTCTATCTGTATAACGTCTATGTAATTTACCTGTTAACGTTTGGAAACTAAAAAATGGCCCGAATGGCATCGCGAAAAGGATGCGTACGTCCGTGCCCTTTTTAACTTTTTCGCTCGACTTGGCGGAGGCACTTCCGCGCCTCCAGTTTGTTAATTATCGGCTGGTTTCTGAGTTGAGAAAAGTACAAAATTTCAACTGATTATTCTCAATAACTTGAGTTATTTTAAGGCAAAACATTCTAGTTTTTTATCAAACTGCTTTCAAATGATCATTAAAAAACTAAAAACGAAAACCTAGTACAGTTTGAGACGAGCCTAACTTAAAGTTAAGTAATACCTATTAAGTTTTGGAAACTAGGAGTTAGATCCAAATCCATCGCGATTTTAAACATTTTGCGGAAGCATGTTGTGCTTTGTGTAAACTTTGAATACTTCTCGAGGAGCAATAAAAAAGTATTTTAAGGAAATGTAGGAACCGAGTGCAAGAAATTATGGCTTAATAATGTTAGTATTTACACAGTAAGCAGTTTCTACAAAAAGTTTTCTGGCGTATTTTAGCTAATTGGAAACATTTAGGCTATTGGTTAAAAGTTTTAAAAGTAACGCTGAGGAGTAAAGTTAATAAAGATGCTTTTAAGTTTTGTTGAAATTTAATAAATAGAAACATTGTATAATTTGCTCCTATCCTAAACAACGACAGCTATTATTCCGACTTTAAATAATAAAGAAAAGTTCATTTTCGGTTTGTAATCGACTGCGGCTTACAAATTAAAATATTGTGACTCTATTAAATAATTTACACAGCAAGCCACGGTCCGTGAATTGCAATATTAGAAGTTCTGTGGTTAGAGGAGTGGCCCGGATTGTGAAAGGTTATGAGTTAGAGTCCCATCTCAGAGTGCAAGGGACAAAGTGGATTAAGAATACAATATTTATTAAGGTTCCATGTTAATTGTTTAACGGTGGTTGTAAATGTCGGAAAAAAACACACCGAATGGGGAGCTGTATTATTTGTACTAAATCTAGGCAGGTCGCTTCTGACGAAATAAAAAAAAAACTTGCTGAGTACAATTTGCATTCTGTAGCATTTTACGGTAGAGTATGGATACTTTTCTCCCGATAGTAAGAGCCGCGAGCTAATAATTAGCAGTATGGATTTATGGCGACGCTCGGCGTAAAGACAGGGTTGCCATCTATTCAGATTGGTATAAAAATAAATAATCGTATTTCGTATACCGATAGGAAATTGAAACTGATTTCTTGAAATAGTAAATTAGCTATATTAAATTTTCCAAGACTTTTAAGAATAAATGTTAAGACAGCATTGTGAATTTTCATCAGTCTATTGATGTCCCCAATGCACAGGGCTCAAGGCCCAGTACGGATTAGAGGGGTTAATAACCTTAAATGCACCTATATAAACGGCGTGACTTCCGAACCATCGTAAAGCTTTTGATAATAAATTTTTAGTTAACCATCCTTAACCAGCCGTTGCAAAACTTACTTTATTTTCGTATCACAGATCTAACTGGTTTTTTTTAATTTAAAATAAATATTTTTTCCAAGTGAAATTCAAAATGTATTTAAAACGCTTTACTACTTTACAAATTGTTACTCATGGTGAATTGAACAAAAATAAAAATACAGAGAGCCTTAATAATTGTATGGAAATTCTTGATTCGTAGCCTACTTATACGAAAAGTCCACAGAGTATTAATATATCTAACATCGTATATTATCTACTGCAAATTTATTTATAGACGACGAGAATGATTTTCATTTGATAAAACCTAACTGACCTTCTTCCTAATTTTTTTATTAGGATGAGTGGCAACCATTCCCTTACACAGTGGTCCTAACCCTGAGGCCAATGAACTATCGTTTTTATTGGAAGTATATTTAAAATGAGCACCACTGCAAAGATTACATGTCATTTTGAAATAGGATTTTAGAAGAAAATATTACCATACTCTTTACGAGAAATAACAAAGGTCTATAAGTTTTTGAAGCCGGTGTTCATATATTTGATAAATTTTGCCTTTTCAATGCTAATGTTTGTTTTAAAGCATATTTATTAAGATTTTTTTCCTGTTTTCTTATTTTTAATGAAGCAAGTAGAAACAGTTGATATTTTTCTTATTTCTAGATTTTGAAAGTTACAAAAAAAAAAAAAAATACCTAGTTTTGCGCGGATTTGTTATATTCATTTTAGAGTTTTTATTTTGTTTTTGTTTTCGTAAAATTGTTGTTATTTTATATAACAAAGCATTATGCATATCCACCGTATTTAGTTATGAAAATTTTTTAAAAGTGTAAAAATTGGTTAATGGTCTTAGAGCGGATTTTTTAATGGAATTTCTTAATTATTGATTTGCTGAAAAACTTCTAATTTGGATACATCATTTACAGTTTGAATTAAAACCTTTTGCTTGTAACGTAATGATAAAAAGAAATCAGTTCGTAGGAGAAAAAAGCGCAAAAACAAAAAAGTTAAAAAAAAATATTTTGATGAATTGTCTAGATTTTATTCGATTGTGTATTTATGTAAACTTTGTCTCATGGAAGAAGTCACGCGACATAAAGCTAATTCCTCTAATTTGAAGAGGGGCTTGAAAAAATAAACATCTAACAGTTTTGTTTTTTCTTTTTTTTTCAGGTTACGAAACTCGATGACTTGAGTCCAATCATCTTTTTGAACAGAACCAAGGCAGAGTTGAACTGCACAGCGGGTTCTATGCAGGTATTCTTAGTTATATAATAATAATTATATATTATCTTACTAATACACAATTAAAAAAGTTTTTTTTTATTATTACCAATATTGAAGTCATTTCAAATAAAAAAAAAAACATTGCAAACTATACAGAGGGCTTACACATTACTTGTTAGTAGATCTTAAATTTAATTGTTAAAAATAAGATATAAGTAATACCTTCATATTTGAGCCGTTTGGAGTTGAAACGATGGGTCCGTGGGGCCCTGGAGCCCATCGTCTTTATCAAGAGTTAAAAGAGAAAATATTTTGTCAGGTCTGGTGAATCGGAAACAAAATCGGGTGGTGAAACTTCAGGTGGTTTATAGGTAATGGTAATAGTATAAGGTAATGTGAAATGTATTTGTTATTTAGGTTGAGCTGAAATTCCATGAAAAATTCTACGGGATAGCGTACGCAGACTTCGATCGGCATTCGGCATGCCAGGTCCGGGGCAAGGGGCTCCTTTCGTACAGACTGGAGTTGCCCCTAAAAGGGTGTGGCACGAGACAGGTCAGTGTTTCAGTAAAAACTTCTTTGCAAAGTGTGTATTACGAGTCACAAAAGTGCATTGATATTTTAAAAAAAGTTTTGTACGTAATAATTACCTGTGTAATATTGCGACATATATATATTGATGATGTCATTAAAGTAAATAGGGCAAAATTGGACATTTCTTTGATTAAAATACCGACCTAGTGCTAGTCGGATATGAACACGAAGAGTTCCGTGACGGGTCCGATGCTTAGGCAAATGAATAAAAGGCTGATTAAACTTGAGAACTTGATTGAATAAAGGGTAAACAAAAAAAAAACCCTTTCTTCGGGTTTGGTGAGTAATTTAACTTTATTATATTTGATTTGATATATAGTATACATTCTTTTTGAGTTCAAACTCGTGAGTATAACGGAAATAGATAATAATAATAAATAGATTTTAACACGTTTTTACACCATATTGATATTTATTGAAATTAAGTACGTATAATGTTTCTGACTCGACGAATTTTCACGAACCGACATTCATATTGGATTACTTAAAATTTCAAATTTCGAAAAGTGAATAGTAAAAATAAATTATGTTGAAGATCAAAGAGAAAAAGTTTGCATGCGGAAACCTAGGACGAAATAAACGGTGATACGACGCACTGATACAGTAATGTCTTAACAAAAACGCAATAAAGTCACGTTCTTCGTGTTGGAGCGGCACTGACTTTTTTCCTATTTTTAGAATTCATTGTTATAGGGCAACACAAACGAATATCTGTAAAACTTCCGATTGTCTATGGACTTAATCGTATTGAGTTTTGCCCAGTGCGGAACAGAGTGCTAATGGATGTAGTTACAGCCGGGACCGATGTCTTAACGTACTTCAAAAGTACGGAAGAGTTTGAGCTAATAAAATTGTGGTCACATATCCTAGACGGACCTTTTGCGAAAGATTTTTTTCAATGCAGTTGCTCATAAAGCGCTATTTTTTTAATCCATTGTAAACACCGAAAGTGAGTCTTTAAACACGTGTTAAATAAAAATGTACTGAAATCCTTTACGGCACACGTGCTTAAAAGTATTTTTTTAATTTATTTGTGCCGAGCACCAAAGAAATTTAATTTTTTTTTATGAAAATATGGCAAACTTTAGAAGCAAAAGTATTTCAAGGAGCCTAGAACGAGTATTTTCAAATAAAAAATGTATGACACGAAAACATGTTCAAATATCACGTTTAATTTTAACAAATAATTTTTACCTTTAATACATACTTAGTTTTATTAACCTATATATTTGTTTTATTTCCTCGCAAAAAGCATTGAAAAATGTTCTAAGAAACTTGAGCGTAAAAGGTTTTTCGAATTCGTGCTAATGAAGCCTTTCGCTACGCTCGTGTTTTCAATTTGGCCCTTATTCGTAAAACCTTACTTTCCGCACTCGTATCTTAAATATAATATAACCGCATCGCAAACTGAACGCGTTAACTAAAAATTTAAAAAATATACCATCTTTCATATCTTCTATATACTCGAAAAGCTTTAAACACTGGCATATAGAAAAATATGTAAATGTCATAATAAAAATCTATAAATCTACGTTGCAGGATCCACTTCGAGTATTCACAAACAACATAGTGGTCCGGTTCCACCCCAACCTAGAGATGGAAGGTGACGAGGTGATCACCATCGTGTGCCGGTACCCGCCTCCAGTGGTGCAAGAACCGGTGCCCAACGCCATCTTGTCCCCGTGAGTGTCAACTGCCTCAAAATCCTAACTGCTCAGACTAAATAACTTTTTACTTGGTGTGACTCTATGTTTATTATTATTATTTAATCCTTTATTTCTTGTTAAATCAAGTAAGTTAGCAATCAGTGTGTGACACATAGGCCTCTTCCGCCTGTTCCTATTATACTCTGTTTTTCGTTTTATTTGATCAGGGGGCTTATTTAATTTTAAAATCTTTTGCAATAATTGCCCTTTTCATTTGACATTTGAAACGAACTTTACAACTCTTTGACATGCGATAAAGATTGTGATCATGACTTTTTTTTTACTGTGACTTCGACGTTAACTTTATAATCCACTATAATCATCGATCAATCTACTCTAAGCTAACGTTCAGTTTCCATAGTCTAAGAATTCATGCACAGAATAAAAGGAAGCTAATTATATAACTCTTTCTTAAACCTATTAAGAGGTGTAATTTTATAGATTCAGGAATCTTATTTAAATATTCTCTGATACATATAGTAGCAGTTATTTGCATATCCAAGAAAGACAGACTAGATAAATAATATTTAAATTTTTTAACTTTACTTTGGAGTAACATCTTTTAAATGTATAGTTTCTATTATTCTTTTGATTAATTCTATTCATCATTCGTTCCATGTGCGATAGTAACTTTAAACGTTACATAAATCCGAAAATCATCGCTATACCTTTGAATGGAACCTCCGTAGCCGAGTGGTTAGCACGCCGGTTTCAAGGAGTTGCCACCCCTGAGGTCCCGGGTTCGATTCCCGGTCGGGAATTAACTTTTCTATATTGTCTCGGGTCTGGGTGTAGTGGTACCTTCGTTATCTTACTCCATAATACGGGGGCTTTACCTACTCATCTTGGAATCTGAGCATTGTATATGATGCTGTTGAAATATATATTTATTTGCCCACATATTGTCCCCGCAATAGCCTTATTCTAATTTATCCATATTTTAACATGTCTGCCTCTTTTTCTATTGCTGTCCCTTGTTTACCATTCTATTTGTCCATTTATACTGCTGTCTCTTCCTATAATTATATTTTGATTCATATGCATTCAAAATGCCATACTGAAAATTATTCTTTAGATAATAGACCTTTCGCAATCCGGGCGCAGTCGTGGGTTCGATTCCCATCTCAGGGTACCAGGGACCAAGTGGATTTTTCAAGAATTTTGTATTAAGAATAATCTTCCTATAATATCGTTATATGTCCTATCCATCGCCATCACAATCCTAACAGCCTTCATTAGAATGTGGAGGAATCGTAATTTGAGGATTTATTAAATAGAGTCCTGCCATCAGTAAACCAATAGACGTTATGAGTGTTATTAATTTTTTTTTAAATAAACCTTTTTATTGTATTAACATTTTTAATTAAAAAAAAAAACAAAAGTACTTTACATAGGCTTACGATTCGAGGTATTTCTAAATGAAACGTTACTTAATTCATCAGTTAAATTCTTCTCATAGTTGATTAAAAATAAAAGAAAACAATAATTATTTGCAGAAGTCCAGTCAGTCCCCTGTCGGTACATTCACCGTTGGCCGGTACACATATTCTGATGATAATATGCGCAATATTGTTCCTCACTCTACTCCTGCTTGGTCTTGGCGTGTCATATCTGTGCTTGCGCCGGCGAGCCGTACCCGTTGCTAGAAGACTTATTGATGACTCTTCTGGTTCTATTATTAGTAGGGAGAGTATACAAGGTAAGAGAACGTATTGTAAAGAAAATTATTATATGTATTTTTACTTCTTATTTTATAAAAAAAATATATCAAACATCCTTCTATCGCAACTGTCATTTTACAAAATTTATTAATTAACATAGACTCTTCTCAATATCCGTTCAGAATATTCTGAAATTGCTATCCTAATAACATCTGGTTAATGAAAAAGAGTAATCACATTTTTAGTAATCACTTATTATGCTTCTAATTGATCCATCACGGAAGCTTTTGGTAGATGTACTGGTTTTATAAGTTAACGATTATAAATCCTCTACTATTGTAATAGAGGTCAAAATCCCTCGAGCTCACCCGGTGTACCCGGTGGCGGCAGAGAGCGCTAGTGTCGCGTCAGACACTATACCATCAGACTACCCGTCGGAGACTCCCAGTGAAGCGGAACATGCGCACACCAACCAAGCGTTCATCGTAGACGAATATCATAGCGAAGGTATGAAACATTATTCATAATAAATGTAATACAAATAAAGAGAGAAGGTTATTATATGTATGAGGGAGGGGACTTCTAGGGTGGGCCCACAGCATTCAATACCCTGCTTCCTTCTTTTATAACGCAGGGTAAACGTAAATTTAAGCCTTAAACCAGGGCTCGCCGACCCCGCACCCGTCCTGAAATGGTCAGGCTTAAATTAGGCCAACGCTGAGAAATGCATTCCGCATACCCGCTTCGCCCTGCGCGAGCTCCACGGGTTATGTGGGACTCTCCCCTGCGGACCAACCCCAGAATGGGGCTGGTCAAAGAGCAGGGGCCTACCCACTAAAACTCAGCGATGTCCCTCACGCGCCAGTAGGGCACGGCATGGGTCCCATACGGGACCATATTCCGCGCACCTACCTACGCACGACCCACCCCTTTGACAGGGCGGGTCCCGTCTCGGGTTAGGGAAGGGCTCAGGAACATTCGAGTCCAACCCCAGACAGGACAAGGAGCGTGCAATGCCTGGCGAGCGCGCTAACCCGCCAGACTTGCCCCCTGTCAAAGGCGAGAGATGCGCAATTGAGCATCTCCCACCCTAGCCCGTCTAAGAGAGGGAATTCACATGGGCTGAACCCTCGTGAATCCCTCACCCCGATAGCCCCGGATACCAATGTCCAGCCCAGCATGCACCGAACCAGTCACCGGTATTCCGTTCCTTAGTCGCTCTCTGATAGTGGCCCCGCCGAGGCCCGATCACTCCACACACCGAACGGTGTGTGGGGCAGTCCGGCCCCGACGGCCCCACTACCAGAGAGCAAGATGGAAAATTCCCTCACCAGCGTACGCCGGCCGACTCCTCGGTTTTCCTCACTACCAGCTCTCCAAGCCTCCCTGCCGATCGTAACCAACAGGGTTGCAAGGTGAGAAGGTAATCTTCACGGATTCAAGACCTCGAGTACGGGAACACTGTCATGCTCCCGCCACCAGAGGCCCGTCGTCCGGTCCGCACGGAAAGATCCGAGGCACGGGAATTTGGCTGCCCACTAGGAACAAGAAGCCCGCGTCCCTCCCCCCCCCCCGGCCCACCGGCATCGCATCCGGTACCCTCTCTAAGGAGAGGGGTGGAAGCAACGCCGACGGGGCGGGGGAGGGGAAAGGTAAGTGTAATGAGGTAAGTGTTTATGTAGTGTGTATTTGTAGTTAGTGTATAGGTGTATGTATGCATGCGTGTATGTGTTATTGCTAGTGTATGTGTGTGCGCGTGTGTCCGTATGTGTGATGTGTGAGTGTGTGTTTTGAGTGACCGGATGAAGCGCCCCTCCGGGGCCGAGCACCCCTTTACGGGAGTCCACGGCCCCGGAGGGGCGATCACCGGCACTCGAGTGTATATGATGTTATGTCTGTAATGTATGTGTGTTAGTGTGTGTGTGTATGGGCACGGGCCTCAAGTCCCTAGGCATCATTGCGGAGGAAGAAGGCGCGCATAGCGCTGTCTTCTTCTTCCCCCTCTGCGGCGGCGGTTCCGAGGACCACCTCTGGCATCTTCCCTCTCCCTTTCTGCGGCCTCCTTCATCGACATAACTTCCTCGCAGAAGGAGCTCACTGCCCTCCAGGATCTGTCGTTCCCCAACATAGCTCTAACTATGCTGGGGAGGGAGAGGTCCTGGCCTATAACCGACATTAGGACCCGTCGTTGATCGTCCCATGCACTACACTCCTCCAGAGTGTGTCTTGTTGTGTCGATCGAGGCATTGCAATGATGACACGACGGGTTCTCCTCTCTACCGATTCTGTGCAGGTATTGTCCGAAGCATCCGTGCCCTGACAACACCTGCACAAGTCGGTATGTTAGCTTTCCATGTCGGCGTTCTCGCCAATCCCCCAACACTGGTTTGATGGCCTCTAGAGTTCGAGAACCAAAGGATGAGTTACTCATCTGACGTTCCCAACACTCTAATAGAAGTTCTTCGCCTTCGAGCCGTATCCGCCTTAAGTCGTCTATGGACGGGGGCTCTCCTCTAGCCCTCGCCTCAGCACGGACTTTGTATATTTCTGCCAGGATTCTGGCGTCGAGTTCCCACGGTGGGGTTCCTGCCAGAGCAATTGCCGCCGCATAGGAAACAGTCCTATATCCACGAATTAACCTGTTCGCAATAACTCGTTGGGGCCTCCGTAGCGCAGCTCTGTTAGTAGAGTCTAGGGAGTCCGCCCAGACCGGACACCCGTATAACGCCATACTACGGATAACCCCAGCAAACAGCTTCCTGCATTTAGCATTCGGTCCTCCGATATTAGGGAGTAATCTCCCCAATGCCGCCGCAGCCTTTTCCAGTCGAGGTCCCAGAACGCGGAAGTGCTCATGGAAGGACCACCTGCTATCGAGCCATAGTCCTAAGTACTTAATATGAGGCTTAATAGGTACTCTTACTCCATCCACCTCGATGCTCTCTCCCCTCGGGGGGGCATTTCTAGGACCGAAGAACATGACCGCCTCTGTCTTGTTCGTTGCTACCTCCAGTCCTAGTTTCCTAATTCTGTCTATTATTAGACCAGAACCCGCCATTGCTAGCCTCTTCAATCTACTAAGGCTGCTACCGCGAACTGCTACCAGCGTATCGTCGGCGTAACAGATAACGCACATTCGCGGTAGCAGATTGCCTCTTATGGCCCAGTCATAGCCGAGGTTCCACAGGAGCGGCCCTAAAACCGAACCCTGTGGAACACCTCGGACCATGCCTCTTGTCATCAAGCGTCCCTCTGAGTTGATATAAAGAACCTTTCGATCTTGCAGATATTGTTTGATCGTACAGCATAGATATTGAGGAAACCGGTGGTGTCTCAAGGCGTTCTCTATACAGCAGTAAGGGAGAGAGTTGAAGGCGTTTGCGATGTCTAGTGATATCGCAATAACTCTCTCCCCTCTGTTTGTTGCCTCATGAGAGAACTCTTTGAGTTTCAATATGGCGTCGATAGTAGACTTAGCTCTCCGAAAACCAAATTGACTCTCCGATAGGTCAGGACCCACGTCCTCCAAATGCTGGACTAGTCTGTTTGAAATAATCTTTTCAAACAGCTTGCCCATCTCGTCCAAAAGAACAATGGGCCTGTACGCACTCGGAGAATCAATTGGTCTTCCCTCCTTTGCTAGTAAGCACAACTTTCCCTTCTTCCATACGTCAGGGAACCGTCCATTTTTAAAGCAGGCATCAAAGAGGGCTCCGGTTTGTTCGCCTAGGTGTTTGAGGGCAACGGGTAAGATTTTACCTGGAACACCACCGGGCCCTGGTGCTTTCTTTTTATATTTGAAGCGATCTACCGTATCTTCAAATTCTTCTTGTGACACCATCGGAATTTCCTCTGACTCGTTCGATTCCGGTAGAGGGGGAAACGACATCCTTGGTTCTAACTCTGGGATTGTGGATGGGAACAACCCATCTAGAACGCTATTTAATAGGTCAGAATCCATAGTATCCGTGGGGGGCGCTCGTTGTTTGAACTTGTTACGGATCATTCGATACGGCCTTCCCCACGGATCATTATTTAGTTCTTCCAAGTATGCGTCCCACGCCGCAGTTTTGGCTCTACATATACCTGCTTTGAGAGCTTTTTTTGCGGCATTGTAGGCTCTAGAGAGACGCATTTCTTCATCTGGGATTCTGTTCCTGCGACGTCTCAATCTGTTTAAGGCTCTTTTTGTCCTCATACTTTCTAGTCTCAGAGCGTTAAGGTCGCTATTCCACCAGTACACCTGTTTCCTGGTGGGAGCGGACATTATCCTCGGCATAGATGTGCTGCAGATTTCTTGTAGGGAGTTTTCCAGGCGCTCTGCGGTCCTATTCACATCTATGTTCTCAGGTAGTTCGTCAGGAAATGCCCAGGCCTGAACTATCGATGCCTCTTCTAATAGTTCACGGTTAAGTTTCGTCAAGGCCCACTTAGGGAAATATGTAAAGGTATTTCCTAAGTGGGTTGTTCCAGCAAACACTCCTGGATCCGGCATTATATCGAATTTAATATACCTGTGGTCAGACATGGTGTATAGATCTTTGATGACCCTCCAGTTACTAAACCGAGGGGCCACCTCAGGAGTAGTGAATGTAAGGTCCACTATCGAACCCCCTCCCGGTCTGACACAGGTATATTCTCGACCCCGGTTCATCAGTTCTAGGCCAAGTGAGCCTGCCCAACGAACGACCAATTCTCCCTTGACTGTGTCTCTAGGGGAACCCCAAGCGGTGTGCTTCGCATTGAAGTCCCCTAGTACAATCATTCTTCTTTGGCGGTGACGTCGTACGACCTCTAGGATGCGACCTATCCAGGTTTCGTAAGCATCTACTCTGGTATTGGGTGAGAAATACACCGCTATTAGGGTAAATTCTCCCCACTCTGCAACCACGTATCCCGACCCTCTCTCCTTTGTAGTCAGTGGAGGAGAGTAATGGAAGGTGCGTGGTACCAGTATGGCCACACTGTTATCCATATCCTTTGCCCAGTTGTTGTGTGGGGGCACAGAATATGGCTCTGCAAATATGGCCAGATCAACCGCCGATTCTGCAACCGTTTGCAGCAGGAGGTCTTGGGCTCCTGCTGCATGGTTGATATTCCCTTGTAAGCACTTTATGGTTCTATTAAACATTGGGAGTTAGAACTATTTATCGATACTTCTTCAGGGGGCAGTTGACTACCTTGATCCCCGCTTACCGTCTCCATGGGCGTGGGCAAAGACTTTGTGCTCAATTTGATCACCTTGGAAGGTGGAGAGCATTGCTTGCTGCCCATTATATGTGAAGAGGGAACCCCTGCGCTGGCACACACAGCGCATTTTGGGGTGTCGTTTGTGCATTTGGATGCCAAATGTCCCTCTTCTCCACATCTATAGCACAACTTCGAGCAGTCGTTGTCAGATGGACACATTTTCCGAGTATGGCCCAGCCCCATGCATTTAAAACAACGCATGGGACGGGCCTCTAGTACCTCGACTCTGACCGATGACCATCCTATTAATAGTTTGCCTCCACTCGTAATGGTTTTAGCAGTATTAACAGGGCATCTCAATATTACCGAGCCCATACCGTTTTTATTCCTTCGAATATTGCCCACTTTAACTTGTGTTACCTCGCAACCACCTTTATCAGCAACGGCCTCAGCCACCTCTTGGCTTTCTACGGAGTCATCGAGTCCAGTGATTCGGATATCGATGGTCTTAACCGGTCTGGTAATTTTCGCCTTGTCTCCGAAGTAATGTTGGAGATGCTCCGCCAGTTTATCAGCTTTAGCTCCACTGGTAGTACCAGGAATCTCCAGCTTCCTAGCACCAGTGGCAGTGGGTCTAACTTTTAGACTGTCAATGTCCAAATCCTTTAGAGCGATTGCTTTCCTAGCCTCACCAATTGCTTGCGCATATGAGAGCCCTTTCTCAACAGCTTCTGGCGAAATTGTGATAACAACTGCCGCTGAGCGAGGTGCTGTGAGTTTGGGCTTTTTGCGTTTAGCATTTTTGTTGTTGGTCTTGGGGGCAGTCGAGCTCTTTCCTGTCCTTTTGTCTGTAGGAGTCGACAAAGAGGAGGTGGTTTTTGGTGCTTTCGGCTGTGTAGCCGGTGTCTTCTTCTTTTTATTATTAGCTCCTTTCTTTCTAGAAACAGTTGTCCATTCATTTTCCTGCTCTGGGGCTGCTGTTGTTGGAGCAGGAGGAGGAGGAGGAGGAGCAGAGGGACGTGAAACATTAAAAGAAGAAGTTGTTTTTGCAGGTATTTGAGTAGTACTTGCTTTTTTCTTCTGTTTCTTCTGTTTTTTGCCAGCCTCTTTCTTGCCAGATGCGGTTGGGATATTTGACACTTGGTTTGTTGGAGGTGTCGATATCTGTGCCGCTTGTGCATACGACATAGTTTTCTGTAAAGGGGAGGGGGATTGTTGTTGCCTTCTCCTATCCGCGGCGAGCGGAGGTCGAATATTAGGTTCTGGCAACAATCGATCTTTAAGCCCCTCAATCCTAGCATTTACCATATCTCCGGCAGTCCGTATAACCTGAGACTTAAGTTCCTCAAACATACTGATGACATCTAAACTTCCAGCTTGTATGGAATTAGCATGTTCCAATACAATAGGTCTGCTTTTTGGAGTCTTGTCACTACTATTCGTCAATTCCTTAATTTTGGAGTTGAGATGGGCAACCTGTTTTTTAAGCTGATCGATATCATCTGTCAGCTTGTTATTTCTTTCCTCTAGGTTTTTGACATATTGAGGAGTATCCCTTTTGGAGAGCCTATTGAGTAAGTCCTGTATATGTCTTGTGGCAGTGGTATAGGAACCCCTACAACCACCTTTAAGGTTTTTGCTCTTATCGGTAGTTTCCTTTATCACGCCTAACCATTTCATAGCCTGTTTGATAATCTGATCCTCTGTTTGGATGTTTTCCAGAGGTTCAGTCTCCATCACCTGTTCTACGTCCTGTATCGATCGTCTACTACGCCTAAATTCGTAGCTTCTAATAGTGGTTGGGGACTGCCCACCGTCCGAGTCCTCACAACTAGTTGCTAGCTCAACGTCCGAAGCATTCATAATGGCTTTTGCTTTGGCTAGGCCAATGTTTTTTCCGTCTTTAATATTAGCTTTGGGTCTTCGCTTTCCACGACTAGCTCTCATTTTCTCACGAGATGTATCGGAGTCTCCCTCACTTCCTCCAGTATTGCTGCTAATAGGTGAAGTGTGCTGGCGCTTCGTACCTATTATTGTAGGAGGTAGTTGGATTTTATCTACGGGGGGCTCCGAAATCACCAATCCAGGTTCAACGGGTGTATTATCCGTAGCTTTCGACGACGTATCAGTAGCCAAAGTCTCTGTTTTAGATTGACTCCTGGTTATCCTCCTGTCGGGTGGTGTGCTTTCAGCGACTATAACAGTAGTGGTTTCAGTTTCACCACTACTCTGAGCATTACCTTCCATTCCTATAGGGAAAGACAATTTAACCGGTTTTTTGACTCTTTTATCACCGGTTGTCCCATCACCAGCTGTCATATTATTAGCTGTCTTATTAATCTCCTGTTCGGAGTGCGCAGAATCAGACTGTGCAGAGCCATAAATGGTTAGGTCACTGCATGAGGTCTCAAGTCCTCTTCTGCGGTCAATACTTCTCTCTCTGGCGAAACTTGAGGCAGAATCGCTTCTGCTGCCAGGTCTGTTCGGACTACGATCTCGTACGTCCAGTTCTCTCCGCGCTCTTCCGCCTACGCGAGGCCCCCTCCGCTCGTCCACGCCCGAGCTCGGCCCACAATCGTCTAAGGGTTTTTTAAAATTTAAATTTGATTCTTCCATAGCTTATCCCACGAGTCGAACGGTTTCGCGGTCCACCCGGGCAGAGCCGACTTACCCGGGTAAGGCTAGGGTTGTGAAGGTGGGGGGCGCCTGTTCCCCACCTCCAGAGGACGTGTCGCGACCGGCTAGAAACCGCCGGCCACAAACCCCTCGCCCACGTCCAGCTTGGGCTGGTTGTTTTTTATTGTGGTTGTCTCCACTTGAGGACACCCAATGAAGGGCAGCCCCACCCCGGCTCCGCACTTGCGGAGTAACGAGGTCGGCCGGTGGTTGCCGAAGCACCGACTGATCATGGCTTCATGACCAGCCGGCCCACCGCCCTCGCTGGCACGGCCGCTACCCGGGTTACCCCCGGGACGCCCGCCCAGCCCGGACCGCGTCGCCGCCTCCCGGCTTACCGCCGGGGCGCCGACCCGGAACCCACACACGCGAGACATCTCGCGACACGGAGACGGAACTCCGTAGCCCACACACGTTCTGACATCAGCCGTGGCGGCTCAAAGATGCTTTGAGCGGCCACGTTGCCCGGGGTGCACCGCGAGGAGGTTGTCAGACACCGGCCTACCTGGTAAAACCCCTAAATAGGACCCGTGATCCGGCAAGGATCCCTCAATTCAACAAAATCTGGGACACGAGACGGACGCGAATCTATATTTTAAATAATTTACCTAATAAAAGGTTTATTTATTAAGACTTTTGAAGTTATATTTGTGAACGTGTAATGTATAGGATATGGTGAGGCGCACGAGGCACACGTATCTAACGGGCGCATGGTGGGCGTGGCGCCCGCGTTCGACGTGCGCGTGCGCGTGCAGCGCCCCCCCGCGCCGCCCTCGCCCCCATCTACCGTCACGCTCACGGAGACCGACGCCGGAAGTATACGGTCGGTACCTTTCATTCGTTTTTTGTTTTTAAAGATTAGATGGTTAGCTGAGATGGTTTTTTTAAAGTATTGGTTTTTAAATAATAATAATTATAATATACAGGCAGTAAATAATTTTTAATATACAGGCTGTTACAAAAAATTTTTCGACAAACAATGATGTCGTTTCAACTAATCAATCGTTCACCCCTCGATATAAAATTAATACGTTAAAAACAATAATATAAAAAAGAGGATTAAAAGCCTTAAATATTGATGAGAAGTGATTCAGTTAAGGGAAAACCCGAAAGAGAAGCTAAGCAAATTTCTGTCTATTTATACACAAAGTATAATTACTACAATTTTGTATATCGTCCATTAAACAGTTTTTCGGGTATGAGTTAATAGTTATATCATGTAATTTTAATTGTCTCTATTTTGTAAATATATGTAATTGATAAATCAATCTCGAAGTTGGAAATTTAACTAGAATTGTAATACAGGCAAACAACAATGATGGAACAAGAGCGCCAGGAGTCCGTGCGCACGGTGTCTCCGGTGGCGCTGCCCCTCCCCGCGCGCGCCGCGCACCTCCCCCCGCCCGAGCGCCCGCCACGGCCCCCCGCGCACTCACACTACAAGCAGGTAAGCTCAACACATACGTGCTGACATTATAAATGCGAAACTAACTCTGTCTCTCTTCTATGAGTGTGTGTTTTAATGAAATTTGGTATACAGATAGAGGTGAACTTGTGTATAGGATAGCTTTTATCGCGAAAAAACTGAGTAAGGATGAAGAGTGTGCAAAAAAAAAATTTTTGTCCGTCAGTCAGACGATCGAAAAATATTAGATCCTTTTTTCTTTTCGCATCAGTTTAAACAACAAATGTCTTAGATAATAGGCACTAAAGTAGAGGAGTGGGGGCTCGCTCACAGTTTTGTAGAAAACGTACAAGAGCGTCACGTCATGCGACATTTCAACCCAATGTATCGCCGCAATTTATTGAAAAAAATAACAAATACTTATTTAAAAATTCAAATAAAAAATAGGGAAAGCACTTATTTTTTTAAAATTGGGAATATTAGAGAGAGTATAGAATAAATACTATTTTTATTACTGAACAAGCTGCGCGGTACTGAAAAAATACTCACCGAGCTGTTAGAACTTATGTAGAATTTGCTTAATAAAACTTGCAAACTGTATTTGTAATCATGAGATAAGAAACAGAGTTTGGTTGTATTTCTGTCTAAAAGTTTCATTTCATTTTCAAATCGATCGCGTTATAGGAGATTGATGTCAGAAATCATTAATACCACAAAATTTACACCGTGAAATAATTTCTCACAAATGCACAATTCAAACTATATGCACAATAATTTATCTACACTGATACCAGAACTGTCTAACTCATTTTCTACACTTAATCTTAATGTCGATATTTGCACATCTTTATCATCAGTCCGTTTTATTAATTTCACGTCAACTAAATCGATAGTTATAAGTCTCCATATGTCATTACCATCACCTAACGTTGACTAACCAGGAGTGGTCGAGGCGGCCGCGCTCCATCGTGTCCCTCAGCACGGAGATGACGGACACCCACTCCGTCACGGAGGTCACTGACCGCTCACACGCTAGAATGTTCCACATCAGGGTAAGACTCATATCACCATCGCTGCATGACAGAAAAATTACTAATTTATATAGGTATGTGTGCTTTCAAAAGGAGCAAAAGTATGATGCCACTATTTCGTTTTCTCGGACTTCGACAGTATTGCATGTTAAAATTTTGAGAACGTAAACTTGACGTAGTTTGGTTTTCTGTTTCTTGGGATGAGTTGGTTGTGAACCAATTATCTTACATTAAAATATATTAGGCATTTTATAGACAGAATAACGACAATGAGGAAGTATTTAAAAAAAAAGAAAGTACTAAAAGAGCACCTCCACTAGATGGCGACTCTAGCAAAAGTTTATTTTTGCCGGAAGGGAGTCATGGAGAAATCAAGGACGTACTAATACTTACACAGGAACTAATACTTCCTCATTCTGAATACCTAATATCTACTCTATGGTAGGTATTCAGAATTGTCATTATTCTATCCTATATATTTTTTACTTACCTGAGTAAGACAAAGAATGTTATCAAGGATTGTTTTGTAATGCATGGTACTAGTGAGCATGTAATGTGTTTATCCATGAAAATGTATTAAAAAAAATAGGAAACTTCAACTTCAATTTAGTAGGTTTGGTTGCTATTTTTGAGCTTGGGTATAGCTTACTCCTAATTCTTTTGGCTTTGATATTGTCGATAATACAGAACAAATCTGTTTTATTTCTAAAGAAACCTCCTCCGCCTCCTCCTATGATGAGCGAGCGTCTGGAGTCTGAAGAGCAAGAAGTTCTAATGGAGAGTTTGGAGCCAATACCTGAAACGCCTATCATTCCAGCCAGGTAAATCTTAATCTTTATTTTTCATAATGTTTTTTTTTATGTTTCGAATACATAAAATTTTGATTATATATTTTGTAGGAAACCCGAAATCACGTCTCATGTAGTAGACGATGTATTCCTTCGCACGATAACCGAAAAGAAGACCATAGAAGACATAGAGAGGCACAAACGCTTGGTGACCGAGTACAAACAAGTACCGCCACCGCCCCCGCAGTTTGACGTTACAATACGTAACCACACTATGCCTGAAGCGCAATGGGAGAACTTCTCCGACATCAGCAGTGCGTCAGGAATGACGCTGACGCCGAAGATGGAGAGGATGCCACTGTCATTACCGCCCCAGAAGTATATAGGTAAGACAATGACTTAGAAATCGTTTGGTAGGTTAGGTTTAATTCATAAGTATCATCATTGTATTAAAAGTACCTGTATAAAAACACTAAATAGTTTAGATTTAATGATATAGGTACTGAGAGATTCATTTTTAGGTCTCTGATGCAAGACTTGTAAGTAACTAAGAAAAGGATTTACTATTAGGCTTTGTTATTGTGCGTGTTGGTCGACATATAACTTGCAGTATTATATTTTTTTTACTTATTATCAAGTAATCTACTTTACTTCGACATCATTTAATTTGGCTCATATAGATTCCATTTATACTTCATGTTATCATTTCACGTACTCAGCACACCGCTGCCACCAGGTGCTTCAGCAACTGACCTCCGTACTGGGTACTACTGCAGTGACGCTCTTACTGAATTATAAACCGTTATAAAACTTATATACATTTTTTACGAGGTATTTAACTATAACGGGTGTTCTTTTAGGTAAAGGCGGTCCAGATCTATTCTCGCCGGAGCTGATAAAGCAGACAGACCGTTCGAGTCAGGTGTACCACCCCCCCGCGCCATCTCTACCTCTGTTGCCGGAGTTGCCGCCCGCACGCAACCCTCTCTATAGGGAGGAGGACGACGAGGACGTGCCGGAGCCCACGCCTGCGCCGCCCGTACCGCCCAACTGGAGCGTGCTCACGAGGGTGCTGAAGACTGAAGCACAGGATGAAGTAAGTCGTGTAGTTTGAGTAGTTAGTACGTTCATTCTGTCAATAGATGGCTCTGATATTGTGCACTTTCAGTAAATAAAGTATCTGTATAATTTTGTAATGAGGAAGTATTTAATTAAAAAGGAAAGCACTAAAAAGCACCTCCACTAGATGGCGACTCTAGCAAAAGTTGATTTTTGTAGGAAACGAATGGACCAAAGACAGTCATTGCCGTTCCTTTTAACTAACGTATTAAAAAACTGTAATTTGAAAAGTTCAAAACCTATATATCAATACAAATACGAAAAAGTACAAACAGAATATGAGTTGTTTATTGAGTTTTGAAAACTAATTTACTTTTAACCATGAAAAAAACCGGAATAGTTGTCATGGAGAAATCAAAAATGTACCGTAGCGACATCTAGTTTGATTTCGAGAACTAATGTTTTTTTAAATACTTCCTCATTGTGTGTTTTGTGTTTGTAATGTAATATTAACTATGTACCAATTTATGGATTTTAGGTTCTAATTGCAAAATATTTTTGAATAAGAAATTGGTCCGATTATGAACCATTTCTAATTTACTAAAATAAAAGTAGTTAGCGTTCAGTGGCTTAATTTTAATAGTTACATATTTTTCTCAATAAGCTGTAATGAAAAAATATAATAAAAAATATTATTATTATTATCCTTTGGTACTATTATCGAGTAGCTCGTTGGCGTAGTGGATAAACGCCGCGGGTTGCGTTGTTGTTAAGCAACTCTCGCAAGAGTCGGTCAGGAGGTGGGTGACCAAAAAAAAATCTCAAGCTATTCCATGCTTTGGAAGGCACGTTAATCAGTTGCTTCCGCATCGCATACCGTTCATTTCACTATCGACCGGTTTCTGAATTGGGAAAAGTACAAAATCACAACTGGAGGATTATTCTCAAAATCTTCTTTTTTATATTTCACTAGTCAAAATGTTTTATCAAACTACTATCAACGCATCATTAAAAAACAAATAGAAACAAAAACCTGTTAAGTGACATTTGAAATGGCTCAAGTAAGGTTTAGACGTGAATTCAAAAACAGGGTGTATGTCTCCAATGTGTTTATCAGATTCTATTGGACACGGAACGTTCGCTCCGGCTGACGCGCGAGGAGCGCCTCCGTTGGCGCGAGCTGATCACCCACGAGAGTACGCTGCGGCGCGAGCTGGCGCGCTCCAGCACCAGGGAGGAGTTCTCGAGGGTCGCCCACGACCACCGCTTCGCGCCGCTCTACGCCCCGCACAAGTGGGAGGTCATCATACGCATACTAGCCCCCCCACCGGATAAGCCCAAGGTATTGTATTTCATTTATTTCATTGCATTGCATACATGTGACTTGAAAATTAAATACATAAATTTCAGTTAATAATATTCACATGCACCTTGATAGGCATTATAGAAAGATGGAAAGAAGAGGGTCTGAAAGTCCATTTTATCTAAAACTTTTCATTCAAATATTAATTCAAAGACTCCGTAAAGTGATTATCTATTGGACCCGGGCCTAATAGGTATGATAACTGGGTTAAAAAAAACTATTTAGTCCCGTCAGTCGGATAAAAGATTTTTTTTTTGCTTCAATAAGAAATGGTTTGGATAATAGGCATTAAAGTTGAGGTGTGGGGGCTCACTACGTCACAGTATTGTAGAAAACGTACATAAGTGTGACGTCATGCGACATTTCAACACAATGTATGGCCGTAATTTATTGATTACGTGAATACGTGATTAATATTCTTCAACAACTTACCTGACAAAGAAACAAACAAAATTTGTTGTCATCCCCATTATCTTATGTCAGAATTATGTGCAATCACTTTCAAAGGTATAGCGATTGTTATGGCGATTAATGGAATTATGTGACGTTTAAAGTCACAATCACTTTCGGTGCGAATGATGATTTGAATCAAGAAACAATAAAAACTTTAAAAACGTCAAGATAGGCCTAGGGCCTACTTGTCTTATTTTATAATCTAGCGCAATCCCTTTTAATTTGACATCTGAAAGATATTCACGAACTTCACGCTACGGTTATTTGACATTTGATAGCGTTTTGTTTCAGATATTGAACGAGCGATATCTTTCAACTAACGTTAATTGGAACTGTGTAAGACAAGCGTTAGGTGTCAATATAACTTAGAAGGCTATTAAAAAATTTCAAACGGAAGAGTTTAATGCTGATTGCAATTTTTCGATGGATTTTAAGGTTTCATTATGTTTTTTGAACATTCAAATCATAATTACATTTTAAAAGTCACATAGGTTAATAAAACGGATAAAGATAGATTTTAAAATCAGAAAATTAGCCCGCACTTAGTGTGTACTACTCGTACATTAAATTAGAACTCTAACGACATCTGTTGGTATTGAATAACATTATTTCGTCTTTTTCATTTAAATTGTCATGACGTGAAAACTGATGCATTTTATGTCGCGTGCTGAAAGTAAAACAAAAGAAATAATATCGCAAAGCCGACCAAATTGAAAATCAGTACTAATGATTTACTTTAATTGAGTTTCGGAACGCGGCATTAAATCCTCCAACGATGTATTCTGTGCTCCAACGCACACACGCACACTGTATTGATATGATTGAATTTCAACTTTGTATAGCGGTAATAAAGTGCAAATTGACTCTTTGACGTTAGGAACACACCTACATTGCTTAGATAACAGTGAGTGCTTGTAATTTAATATGAACTTTATACAATAGTAATAGAGCTCAAATTGACTCAACGTTTTAGTTAGAAAACGTTTGTATGAGAAAAAGAAAATGGCTGTTTTTACGGTTTTTTCGGCATATATTCAAATTTTTCTCGCCGTAAAAACCATCCTTGAACTTCAACGAACATTTAAAAAAAAGAATTGGCCAAATTGGTCCAGGCGTTGTTGAGTTATGCGCTATAATCTTTATTCTCTAAAATGTTCCTACGTCGTCATTCAGAATCGTTACCGCAAGAAGACAGAATGGGATTCGCGATCTAGACGCAGTTCTTTGCCCACGTTGTACGAGTATGACAGCGACGCGACATCCCTTAGAGAGCCGCAGAGGTCCAGGCGTTCTTCATACCGCAGCGACCACGTTGATATGAGGTAACAACCAACAGAATAACATACCCTAACGGCCGTGGTCATTCACTATGGGTCCATAAGAAAGTCACCCAGCGGGCAATGGGGAGAGCAATGCTTGGTGTTGTTCTACATGGTTAAGGAGGATGGACCATGACCCTCCACGCTGGCCCAATGCGTATTAGAGGGTATTTACGTTTGTAAATGCAGCCGAGACCTTCTGTAGCGCGGAGTAGTTCGAGATAATAATTTGAGATCGTATTAGGAACGATGAAATCAGTAGGAGAACCAACGTTGCTGATATCGCCCGATGAAGTGCTTAGACAGTGTTGTCGCTTTTAGGAGTTTCGCCCTAATTTAGAGCGAAACCATCGATTCAAAGTATCGCTTAAAGCGTTTTTTTTAATTTTTAAGTGTTTGGGGTAAAATGTAAAGTTATCGATTTTTAAGGATTTAGGCTAAAATATAAAATTATGGCAGCAACACTATTTTGACACAGACTAAGCAGTTTTTCTGTGATCGATTTCGTAGGTTTTCAGTTATTTGGCAATAAAATACAATAACAGGCATCAAATAATAATGAATGGTGGCTGTTATCATATTTATGTCTACTTCTTAGATTAATTGTTTTTTAATACTTGCTTTAGATCAGTTCTTCGTATTATTTTATAAAAAATGAAATACAAAGCTTAATTGTGTGTAAACCAGTCGTAACTGTTACATATGTGTGTGTGTGTATTAGGTCGATGTCTGAGATGATGGTTGATTACGCCCGCGAGCAAGCGGACACTCATTCAGAAGTGTCTGGCACTCAGCTCGGCAGGTACTACGACGATGACAGCGACTCCGAGCATCCCTTCCATAATCCACAGTGAGTATATATGTGTATAGATTTAAATTTAGCTGGGGTTTAGCTGCTATTTCAATAAATACTAAAATTGGTGTTCTTATTTGATTTGTTTATTTATTTATCAATAAAAATGTTCATATTAATATTCTCAATGAAAAATACTTAAAAATCTTTTTCTTCAAGCACTCGTTACTTTTTCGCTTTTACAAGAATATTTTCAATAAAAGTATTTAAAATTAATACCGATAATCACAGTTTTATGTTTGTTACATTTATAATATTGCTTAAACTAATGTATTTAAAAATAAAAAGAAAGCACCGAAAAAGCACCTCCACTAGATGGCGACTCTAGCAAAAGTTGATTTTTGCAGGAAGTGAATGGACCCAAGATAGTAAATTCCATTCCTTTTAATTAACATATTAAAAAACTGAAATTTGCAAAGTTCAAAATTTAGATATCAATACAAATACGAAAAATTGCAAATAGAATATGAGTTCTTTATTGAGTTTTGAAAACTAATTTACTTTTACACATTAAAAAAACCGGAAGGGTTGTCACGGAGAAATCAAGAAAGCACCGTAGCGACATCTAGTTTGATTTCGGGAACTAATGTTTTTTTTAATACCTCCTCATTACGAAAAAAAAATAAATATTTTATGTTCATTGTCACGTGAGTGCAAACAGCGTGTGACGTCACGCCCCTCTAACTCATATCCGAACTTGGAGAATTCAACCTTATGCACATATAGAACGATATCCGTTTCAGAGTGCCGCGACGTTATAGCGACGTTATGACAGAACTGGCATTATCGCGGGAAATTTTGAAAATAAAAATTTTGTTTTTAGATCTTAACTTATTATATATATATAAAATTGTCTGCTTGTGTAACGTGTACGTTGTGTAACAGATCGTGGGGCCGCCACTCGCTGCACCGGTCCGCCAGCCAGCCGTCGCTCGCGCGCTCAGCCACGGAGGTGGTGGAGCAGTGGACCGCGCCCGACGGTGACGTCACACCCACGCCCGGACGACGGATCAGAGGTACGTATTTACCTACGTGTACCCGTATACACTAATATTATAAAGAGCAAAGATTCGATAGTTTGCTCCTATATCATATACGGTAAAGGCTATATTATAACTTCAAAAACAATAAATAGGGGATGAAAATTGGAGTGGCAGTTTGTATGGAGAATTAGAACGTCGCCATATTAACCATTGTTTACATTTCAATTTCACGTCATGGTATGAATCGATATCCAAACAAACAGTTCGCTGCGACAAAGCGGGTGAAGCCGCTGTAAAAAAGCTATTTTTTAATAAATGTCTAACCAAAGAAAACCAGACACTTGAACATATCTTTTATTCATGTCCAACTAACACTATCTTGCGACTCGTTTTGATACATCACCTCCTGAAAACACATAAGACAATCCCGCTTTCCCTTCAGAATATCTTAGCTTGCTCAGAAAACGTACTGATTTATGACTATATTAGCTTCACTCTTGGAGAAATCTGATTTGACCATCTCGGATATGTGAACAATAACGCTGAACAAGACATTAAAAAAGTATATATCAATAATTTTCTGCTTGCTCTAGAATTAAAATAATATTATACAAAGATTGGGCTTTGCCTCATAAAATAACCTACTCAAGATTTGGCAGTATCGTTAAGTTCCTACGTCTGTCCTATTGGACGAAACAAACTACTGCTACTACTGTGATTAATAATTTCTCCCGCTCTCTCTTCAGCCTAGAGGAGTATTATTGACATTGTTTATTTGACCGTATTGAACGTATAGTTTAAAATTCCTGAAAGGGTTTATGATATTTTACTAGCTTATTAGTAGCTGAACTGATTAGCTGGCATTACCAGAAACATGATTTTTCCACTATTGTATTCTATCTTATTCATTATATATTCTTAAATACATTGAAGTTATTAATTTCAGGTCCTCAAGGTTTATCTACATTCACATCATCTGAAGTTCGCACGTTCCAAGCGTCATCGAGAGAATGGCGCGAATAAATGAAAGAAAAAACAAATGAATAACGAGTCAAATGAATAGTCTATGACTGTGAAATATTGATTTATCTCAATATAGAACGCATTCAACTTAGGCCATAATAATATCATACGTGCGTCGATAGATGGCGCTGGTATACATTTTATATTTAGTTCAATACAATGCAATATTATAACGCCATAGGTATTTTTAGACAGTGATAAATTAGTTGAACAATGCATTAATATTGTAATGAAAAGAAAAATGTATTATTTTCTTAGGAAAATTATACTTTTTAAGAAAAGAGTGATAATAGTTGATCACTGCCTTTTGAAATAAGTTCTGTACATTCTCATTTTGTGATTTGATAAGAAGACAATAATTATTAAATTCTAATAACATTATAATTGTACTTAATATTTTTTTCATATAATATTTTGATCTTAATTCAATGTCTAGTACTAAATTTTGTACTAATTTATTAAATTACAATTAAATTAGTAATCAACACTTTTTGTTTTTTTAATGATGTGAAAGTTTTTTTTGTTACGCTTTCATGTTCACACCACTAAGCCGATTGTGATGAAATGTTTATATATATTTTGACGACTCTATACTTACATAGTATCCGTTCTAAAGTATTTATGAAATAATAGATTTTAAAAATTACGCGAGAAAAGTCGCGGATGAAAGTTTGTTAATAATATTTCTATAAAGGATGTGATAAATAATTTCATTATGAAAATAATTAGTAGTGCTTAACATATTTTTATCTCATGAATTAGGTACATAATAATTTACTATAATCAATGTCAGTGCGTAAGGCTTATAAAAACCATTTTCTTCATTTGATTTTAAATCTAGAAGTGTTGATTTTGGGTTCAAATTCGTTTCCGAAAATTTAACTTTTATGGAAATCTGTTTTTTTTGCTATATGTATGTATATAGTGATACATTTAGTTTTTTTTGTAATAATAAGAGCATGGAGTAACAATTTACATTGCGTAATTTTCTTTTATAATGAGCTTTCTTATTTTTTTTCATTGATTATACTATATGCATGTCCAGGATATGAGCTTTAAAAATTAACGAATTAATTGTAAAATGAATGTACAATTTTTTTTTATTTTGTTTTTATTTCGCTTACGTAATTAGTTGTAAATATTTTTTTCTAAGGGTTGTCTATAACCTAGCAGTTAAGGCAAGTTGTAAGTTTAATTAAGAAAATATGTTTTTATATATTTTCAAATATTTCTTGCCTTTATTGCTATGTCAGAATAATTGAGTGGGTACGATGGGAGTCGGGATTTATGCAAGAGTGCTCAATTTAATATTAACTAGACCTTTTTTGTCGGAGACTTTACGTTTAGAATGAATGAGGAATATATTTTAATATAATAATAAATTTAAATATATAGTAATGTTTATTATAACATTAGTCGATTGCTTTTTACGGTATTTTTTATAAGTCTCCGAAGAGACATTATACTTCACTAACAATAATACTAATTTTTGATAATTGTCAACTGCGTGGTGCTAAATGGAGATGTTTTTTTTTCATTTTTGATTATATTTCGTAAGCAATACAAATTGTATTTTTTTTATATCTGTAATCAATTACATTTACCGTAACATTTTATTTCGTGTTTTATTTCCTAATCCTTTTCATTTTTTTATTAGTACTTCAAGAAATAATGATACTTATTTTTGTGCAAACAAATTGCTAATTATATAAATTCGTATGTTAAAATATATACGTTCAAAGGGGGAGACCTATGTTCAGCAGTGGACGTCTTCCGGCTGATGATGATGATGATGATGTATGTTAAAATATCGACACGACGTAAGAACAAACGATGGGACTTTGTCATATTGCGACATCTAAGAAAAAAATATTTTTAGTGTCCTAATAAAAGTTCATGTGTGATTTCTCATTGTTCATCAATCCAGCAGGGCCGCCATCTTGTGTTTTTAAATGATCATTCTTGGACTCAATTAGTTCTTACTCTTTCAGTTAATGGCCAAATAGAGACAATGAGCCTCTCAATACGCTGTTTCGGACGCTAAGTCCATATTGCCCCTGAAGTATTTTCCCTAGGGGCAATACGTATCCAAGTATTTTGACTAGTACAAGCCAAGTGCCTGGTCATATGAATAGGTCATCGATAAATTGATATTATAAAGAAATAAAAGTGATAAGCAACTTTTAAAGATATATTTTATTATTGCTATATTTTAAACCAAGAATGCTTAAAAAGTATAGTAAAATAACTTGGATAAGTAAATCCCCTGGAAGAAATACTTCAGTTGCAATCAACAGACTAATTGATTTTGCCGATATGTGTACTTTGTGACAGTGCCTCGATTAGAACTCTTTATATTCAAGGAACTATCCAGGTCATTATTTATTTTAATTCACAAAGTGACTTAGAAATAAAAAAAAAAAACCATTTTATACGACAATTCAAAATATTTTTTTATGAAATTTATTTACATTTAATCAAAGTATGTAGGCACCATTTTATTCGATAACTTTTTGCAATCTTGTAGATAGAGACATGATGCCGATGTTATAGAATTTTGGGACTTCTGATCAAAAAACCAAGACAAGTGGTTTTGGTAGTCCTCGTGTGCTGTTAGCCTGACACTGCCTAAAGAATTTTGAAGAGGCCAAAACAGGTGGAAATGTAAAGATGCAAGGTTAGGACTATACGGCGGATGCATTAACACCTCCCAGCTAAACTCTTTTAATTTTTGCTGAGTGGAAAAAGATATGTGAGGTCTAGGGTTGTCATGATGAAAAACCACGCTCCTTCTATTGATTGGTTCGGGCCAAATTCTCCCAACTTCTTGCCTTTATCTCATCAGTTACTCGCAGTAGAGTTTAGAATCGATGGTTATGTCTAGCGGTAACAGCTCATAATAAATAATACCCTTCCAATCCCACCATACACACATCATCACCTTGTTCACACACAGCACCTGCCGGACCGACCTTTGACCACGACCTTTTTAGCACGTTATTGTAAGTACTCCACTTTTCATCATCAGTTATCAGCTTCTTCGTCAAAAAATCGTTCGGTTTCATCACGCCGTAATAACGAATCATAAATAAGTACACGGTTCATTAGGTTATTCTTACACCCATCCTTTTTCAAATGCACCAAAACTGTTTTGTGGTCAATCCCCAGTTCTTCAGCTACGTCGTAACTTCTGATATGCCGATTTTGCTTTTGCATTACATTTTTCGCGGCTGACATTACATCATTACCTTTTTTGTAATATAATTTTAAAATGTATCGAATTTCTTAATTAGATGAGTGAATCTTTTGATAGTAAGAAAGGGAAATGAAAATTTCAAATTTTCCTAACTTGAATTCGGAGTTATCTTCTTTAAAAGCTATTTTTTTTTATTATACCGGAACCAGCCAGATCTGGCTGGTAAAAAGGATGTAGCTATTTGTTCTGGGCTGGTAGAAATATTTTATTACAAGTTCATGTATACTAGATGCGAAAAAGCTTTTCCCCAACCTAATACTTCTTACCTTTTAACTAAAAGAAAATGAATATCATTGCGGTTTAGACTAAGTTTTTGTTGTATTTTTTTATTTAGGTACATTATGTGGTTTGTTCATAATAAATTTTATTTAGATCGTACCTTTTAATATTTCAATTTCGCTTACTTGGATCAAAAATAAAACTTTAAATTTTTTTGAAGTTTATTTAAAATATATTATGAAATAATTCAGAATCAATACAAACAGAACGTGTTAAAATACATATTACTTTTAAAAATAAATAAATTCGATTCGCTCGTACAATATTAACATAGATCTACAAAATTACATTAAAATGTTATACGAATACTCACTTCGAATATTCCCTATAAATTCAAAAAGCATTATATACTAATGAAAAAGATGAATTTATAATTCATGTTCAAATAGACTGCTACATAAAAAACTTTAAGCTCAGTTAAATTTCATGACATAAAAATGGACGAAAATACATTTACAACCAGTTTAAGATATTTAATTACAACAGTGATATACAGAAAAACAGTTAACATTGTTATAATCACTGAATCATCCTAATAACAGCGTAAAGTCGGTTAGTCAATTTATTACTACTGAAATATTTCCCTAGGAGTAATACATATCCAAGTATACTATTACTTATTATTAAAGTAATCTTAGTTAAAAGTATAATTACAAAAGTAAAATATTAGTTACAAAATATTTTAACACTTTTATTTCTGATTATACCGATGGGAAATATAACAATAACATTATAAATCATATTGGTTTGTCCTAGTAAAAATATATGACTATGGCCCTTAGGGGAAATACATCAGGAGCAATATAAAGACAAACCGCATAAGTTCATTAGTTAGCAAAAAACAGTTTAACTACAACTAACTATACAACTCACTAAAGCTACAGTAAAAACAAGAATCTAGACTTTTATCTGTACAACTATTTAGAGTAACATTAAACCGCTCATTGAGTATGTACAACTTAGCCCTAAATTATGTTTGGTAAATTAATATACACTATTACATATTTGTTACGACTATCTACGATATGAAGTAGGTACAGTCAATAGGTCCCGTTTATCAAGTTCATCATGGTTATTTGGCATTACTTTTGCACCTCCGTCTTTATTTGGCAGTCTGTTTTTCTATAAATCATTTAGCTCAATCAAATTAACATATCTCCAGAAAAGAAATTTAAAAGACTTGTGAGAGATGTAAAAACTTTTCCAGTAGAAAGGATGTCTTTTTGTCCATTTATCTACCTGATTATTGAAGAATATTAAACGCGAATTTTCTATTTTTACATAACCAATAAATTACGGCGATACATTGAAACCGAACGTCACATCTATGTATATTTTTTACTTAATAGTGATGTGACGTAGTGAGTCCTCACTCCTTAATTTTAATGACTATTATCTTAGTCATTTCTTGACAAATTTAAGCCAAAATCAAAATCATCCAAATCAAAATTGTTTATACAGTTTAGACTTTTACAGAGCCCCTGTGAAAGTCGAAAGCTACGCCAACGGTTCGCATAACTACGGCGGGAGACCTTGTACTGAGAAAAAGAAATACATATCAAATATTTATTTATTATCTGGCTGACGGACTACAAACAATAGTATAATATATAGGCTGGATCACGGCTGGAGAATTTACAAATAGAGACAAACAAAGGCATCGTCGTTGTAATTATTTACGATTGAAGTACGAGAAAACATTGAAAAGATAATTTACTTATAATTAAATTAAGAGGGGACGTACAGCTAAAATATTATTGTACATTTATACATCTCGTGTTAAGAAAAATAGAGACAGGATAGTGAAAAATGCGCGACGAAAACGACTTTTACATAATTTTATTATTTGTAAACTGTAACGATTGTAAAAGTGCAACATAATTCCCTTGGCTAGTGTTTCATTTATTCATAAAATTTTCATGTTCAAAAGAGTTTAATTGCAATAGATAATACTTTAAAATGTTGAAAAACAAAAGAAATGGCTATATTAAGTATGTATGAATGCTCTAGTTATGGTATATATAATATCAAACATTGTACATATGATATTAATATTTCTTTTAAAAAGTACCAAGAGTCACACATAAAGTCATAAATCAACAATATATTGTTAGCGACAGCTTGCACGAAGACTGTATTAAAAAAATAATACGAATAATACGGCAAATAAGACAAGAACACTTTAAAGAACTCGAACTAAAACTGTGAATTTTATATTTACAGAAGATAGAAATTTTCATGTAACAAAAAAAATTCCTTATAAATTTTGTATTTAAAAAATATTGAATACCTATCTGCAGAACCTCAAATCACAAATTATAAACGACATCATAAATTAAATAGGATTAAAAAACCGAAATAAAATATCTATTGATTTAGAGCAAAATTAAAGAGACATCAAAATCGTTGTACTGACATAGTCAGTACTTAAAAGATAAACTGTACCAAGAAATTCGGCATGATCTAAAATTAAATCAAAGACAGATTAAATTTTTTTATTTTCACGCAGAATATTTTTTTATAATCTTAAAAATTGCAACTATCAACTTTTGTTTGCAGTTGGAGTATTAAGCATACATGAAGAGAATATATTTATCAAATACCAACAAAATTTGGTTAATTCTCCAACTGGAGTTTATTGCACGGAACCCTCAGTACGCGAATGATTCTTATTTCTTAATCCACCATTGATAAGTCACCTCCATCACAATTTTCATGTGCTATTTGATTTTTTAAAAACAAAACAGCTATCTACACATTACAGTATCTAATAACTAAGTATATTCAGGTAATGTTACATATATTTTCTTATTATTTAACATGAACACCATTTTTATATGCCTCTTAAAATAGAACAGTTCATATTTGGCTAATGGAGCCACATGATTGACGTCTTCTCGTCACTTGTTTCCAGAATCTTTTCTCGAAATGTTTCTCCTGTAAAACATTACATTGTACACAGAGTAAGAAGAGTTAGATATGTACCAGGGTTGTTGCAAATATAGTCAACATCAGAATCAGGATCAGTTAGAAACAGCGGATTTTCTATAATTATTTTAAATAAAAGCATCCGAAACAATATTTACACTATGTGATTCTGATTTTTCAGTTGATAAGTCAGCACTATCGCTAGCAGTAAAACATAACGTTAGAACTTAATTTCGTCACATGATGCGTAATTTGAGTAATTAAAGGCACTCGTTGGTGTTTTCATCGTACAGAGTATACTGAGTCTGCCCTCCAGAGTCTAAACCGAAGTTACGGCAAAATTTGCGTTTGAGTTCTGAGTCTGAAAGCCCAATTCGAACCCTACAAGCCTAGTTTATTCATCTTTTTCTACGACCAGTAACAGTATTTTTTTGTTTCTTTTAAAATCAAGCATTTCCATATTAAACCATTTCCACACTGTCTAACAGTTAAGTTTTTTATTATACCTACTAGATCAATATCAGCCGATATTACTCTTAAAACTTCAACATCATCAATTTCAACACCCCATATCTGCAATAGTCCTGGTATGTACTAAATTATTTTGACTGGTGTTCAAGTGATGACTATAAAAACTATTTGTGTGATAGGGTGGTTTGGTGCGTATAAAACTGCTCTTAAAATATAAATTGTTTGCGAAGATATTGGTTATAAAATAATAAACATCCATCTATTGGAGTACATATAATATAGCATGTACTAGTAATGACGAACTAAAGATAGGACGGCAGCTGCTGCAGGATCAAAGAATGAAAAGCGCAATGAATTTTTGATAAAAATATATTTTTTTGAGAACACCACGTTCCAATCAAAATGGACAGATTAGTTCATTAAACAACAAACAAAAACAAATTTTGCGTAATGTTGAAAGCTGGATTTAAACTATGCATATATACATTAATCTTAAAAGAGGATAGAACAATTGACATTAAATTTTTAGAGCTAATTTTTACAATTTGAATAACAATTTTAACAATATTTTAAACAAGGTAAAAGTGAATATTACATTAGCCGAAGTATGAAATGTTTAAATTGAAGCTTGTTTCATTATTATCAATTACATTTTAATTGAAAATCAAAAGTTTAAAAAGGCAATTTCATTGACCATTTTTATATCAATTCAAATTTATACACAACCTACATATTCGCATTAAACTATCCTCTACCTCACTCACTATTTAATTTAATTAATTTTTCATAATTCTTTATGCGTACTCTACTAAAATATTGCTTCAAAATACAGTTTTCAATTGTATTGTAACCTTTACAAAAAATATCATGTCTTTTAAATATTAAAGGGCAGTGGTTAAAAATAAAATATAACATCAATATAAACAGAGATACCGATAACTTAAAAGATACCAAAATAGATACTTATTATGTAACTTTTGAAATATTTTATTCTAACACAAAAGTTTTGGCCAAGTATCTAATATTTAATTTCCTGAAAGTTGATTGAGAAATAAAAAGTGCATAAAAATTGGTGGTTTAAGAAACTCAATAGAAATTACGTAATAGATAATATCTGAGCTATCTATTGCATTGTCTTTTTTGATATTTATTACTTTTTTTCTAAAGCAAAAACACGTCTTGATCTTGAAATGATAAATGTCAAACATATAAAAAATCTTTTTGAATAATCAAAAGAGTCCCACGGTGTCTGAAGATAGTCAAAACATTAAACATAGACCCTAACAGACATTAAATCAAGACAAGAATAAATGAGCCAGGAAAAGGATAAAAAAAATGAGAAAGCAAATGTAAATTATCATTGTGGAACGTTTAAATCCAGCTGGTTGGCACATAGAAGCCGGGCGGTGCGTGCGTTACACATAGCCATTAACAAAGCATATCTTGTAATATCCGTTGTTGCTCACAGTGGTGCGACGGGGTGAGAACGGCCTGGTAGTAATGTTGCCGAGCAGCAGCGGCTCTCGGCGGGGGCTATCGGACGACGCCCGACGTCGTAGGAAACCCATTCTAGAAAAACATGATCAATATCTTTTCACATGAATTCATTTAGCTTGACTAGCTCAATCAAACCTAGTAACTGAGATTATGATTGATCTAGTAATACAACTTTATTTTTGAATCCAATAAAAATTTGTGTTTCTGTCAGTACTATTGTAATTTTAACATGGCTGACATTATCAAATAACCGATTACATACATTTATTTAGTATAACTTTAAAAATCTAAGATGACTTTCAAAACAAAAAAGCAAATTGTTATGTTTTTATTTAAAAAACGATTAAGACAAAAGGGAATCCTGAGATGATGGCTGTTTCAAAAATATCTAAGCGAATGATGTTGACGATTGATGGCGTAGAGTAAATATATTTTAATTACACTTAATGTAAGTACACAGACGATGGTAGGGATAGAAGGCTTATATAAATTCTTATATCAAATTTATACTCACATCTTCCCGTTCTGGCATAGAGAGCGCGTCCGCGAACGCATCATCTGAGCTTCCACTCGTGCCAATTGTTCCATCTCCATAATTTTCGTTTCGCTTTCTGGAACTAGATTTAATATTATTTTTGAAATTTCATTTTCAAACAAAAATACTACAAACATGACGAATTTGATACCGTTTGTATTGTATAAAGACCCATTTCAATGCGTGTGGATGTTAAAAAAGAATGTCAGAAAGTGGTTGAGAGCTGTTCCTTAATAATGGACAGATTGTAGCTTTTTGAAAAAAGTAACATTTCAAATATACAGGATAGATTTTTGAGACGGCAAAGTAAGGCTACTATAATTACAGTTACCATCTGAATTTAATCTGAACTGCATTCACAGTCAAAAAAATGTATATCACAAGAAATATAATTGTTTGGCAGTAAAGCCAATTTCGAAAATGTATAAGAAAATTTATTGGACATTTGTCATTTCTAGTACTCATACTGAAAATTTGCGAATGCAACTCACACTTTTTTGAAAGTTATAGTCCTTCATTTACCGGTATGCTATTTTATCCTCTTCTCAAAAATGCAATTCACACTCTCTGCCGTTACGATTTGTATATTTCTTACCCTTCCAAGCATATACAGAATTGCGCGAAGTAGTATGCGGGACGGTGCGGCGTGGATGTGTGCGGCACAGAGTCACCGCGTCTGCGCTCGCGACGCGACGGAGCAGTGACCGCTGGCACGCCGCGCGAAACGACCAGGGGTCGGACCCGCCATCCTGCTACCATGCGCAAACTGATATTCACTAAAATTGGTGGCACATTTTGTGTTTCCAACTAAGAAATTTTTTGAAGATTTGCTCTTGCAAATTTTGTTCCTTCTGAGTTAACACTGAAATGAGACCAATCGCCAGCTATTTAAGAAACTCTTTATCAGACAACTAACTATCTCCCTCTACAGCCTACTACTGTGATAATGTATTGTTTTTAATATGATTTAAGTAGCAGTATTTATTATTTTAAGTAAAAAGTAACGGATACACAAATGTTGGGTACGACCTAACCTTGAAGGAAGAAAATCAATCACAATATTTAAGTACTAATTTTAATAATTTTCTCATTGTTATTTATTATTGCTTTTTGGGTTTTTGAGTATTTCAGGCGTTATTATTTTTGAGCCTCTATAAATGTAGAAGAAAAGCAATCTATACCCAAGACACTTCCTGATCGGCTAGCATGTCCTTCCCTTGGTCCAATGCTAGCCTCATCTCCGCTCGAGGACTGAGCCGCTCCTCCGGCATTGGTGGCTTCTCCTCTTTCTGTAGTGAGGGGTCTTCCACAGCTGGTGCTGGCTCCGAAGCTGTCCGAAAGTATATATGTTATGCACTTTCTCATTTTAATTGAAATAATTAAAACACAGTATCTTCGTTAGTTCTAACGTATTTTATCAGATATCGCGTACTTTTATGCTACAGGGGCTGACAACCCAAATTTGTCAATGAATAAGTGTACTTTTGTTATTCTTTCTTGATCGTAAAATTCATATATGTGTCTTGCTTGCTTATTCGTTTTACAAATATAGTCGTAGGCAGAGAGGTTTAGCTGTGATGATTTATTTAATTTTTGCAGTTTTATCTTACCCGGTGAAAGTGTTTGGTGTGGTGTAGGGTTGTGGATAGCGGTACGCTCGAGTGTGGAGGGAGTGCTTGCCGAGCTGGCTGAGCCCCGACGACCGGCCACACCAGCAACGGCTCGCACCTCCACATACTCTTTTGAAACTGTAGTTAAACATTTTATTAAGTTGAACCTTTGAGCTCTGAGCTCTTGAATATTACTGGCTGGACATTTCTTCATTAACAGTTTTGGTTGTGGTAGCTGTATAGAAAGCTGCTATTTAATACTTTTCCTGAGATTGGAGCAGTGCTTGTTATATATTGCCTAATATGTGATGGTTTATTAGTTTGAAAATTGCAATCTGTCTTACGCCAAAAATATCGAAACTTATGAGCACAAGAAAAGTATTATTATTTTGATTTTTTCACGACCACTCCCAATCAAACTTTCTCTCAAGTTCGAGTGTGCGACTGTGCGTAATCATGTGAAGAAAAAAATAAACGATATTAATAATTTAGTTGCTGTAATTTTGTATGTTCTTCTTACCAGATTGTAAGGGCATCGAAGGCACCTCGTTGGTAGGTGTCCGTTCTGGGCTCAGCTCTGATTCGGCGCCAACATCTGACTTCTCTCCAGCAACTGGAACGCCTTCCGCACCCCCGCCCCCTGCTTCTGCGGAAATATTACCCTTCAGTATCAAATATAAATAAAATCAAAAGTGGCTTGTAAATAGTAGCTGTGTTTACGTCTGCTTTAACCGTGTATAATTTTGTTACTTTTATCAATACTACCAAAATCCTTATGAAAGGTGTTCCGAAAATTAAATTACCGTTAGTGTCAGAAAATACATTAACAAAATGTAAGTGAAGTGCTAATTCTACTTTATAATAAAGTCGTGCTGGGTACATAACATATTTAATTTTAAAGGAAGACGTATGTATATGCAAGGTAAAACAACTATGTAAGTAACATTTGTGTCGTATGGAGGTAACATTCATTGACATGCAAACATGCAATCAACAAATTATTACTTTATCATATTATTGGTGAGTGAGTTTGTATTATTAAAATATGAACCTATATATTCATCGAAGACATTTTTGTCTTTCTCACCTCTTTTTATTCAAGATGTCCATTTTGCTGTTAACATGTGTTCTGTTAGTTTAATAGTGTTGTGTTGTTTAAATATCTGTTTAGATAAGTCCTACAGAGATAAACATAATTTATTAGATTTTTTCTGAATTGTTTATTTGTTGTGAGATATTAACGAGGCATAAAAATATTTAAATTTATGGTAAATCAGCAAAGGGATAACTGAAATACAGGTTAAGGTAAAAATATTCAGAAGCTTTTAATTTCATTTTTATGGTTCATAAATTTATAGACTAAGTAGAAGGTGATCCTTTACGTTATAGCAGTGACTACAATGATGTCATCTAGATACCTAGAAACTCATAAAGTGTTGACTTACCTATTTCTGAAGCAGAGGGCGGCAGGTGCGGCGCGTCGCAGCAGTCGTCAGCACCAAGCCCGCTGCCCTGCGCCAAGCGCCGCACCAGCGGACCAGTCATAATGTGAGATTCAACCTAACTACAGGCTACGCGACGCTGCCAATAACCTTGCTTCAAATCAAGTTTAAATTTTGGTCGTGGTTTTTTTTAATTAGAAATGACATACAGTCAGAAATATCTACAGTGGAAGACCTTTATATAGGTTTACTTCGACATTTCTTACGAAATAGGATTGAAACAAAAATTAAGTAATTTGCAACACTAAAATAAAATATGATGATTATTCCATTAGAATTAAAATATTTTTTGTTCTTATCAAGTACGTTCATGCAACGAGCATGCTACGTGTATCATTATTGGCATGCTAGGATGGTTATTGACATTGATAAGCTTTTACCTACTTCATCTGTCAAAATCCTTTATTGATATTAATTTAAATAAACTTTAAACCATAAAAATTTACGTGATTTATTTTTACATTTACGTAAGTTTAGATTTTGACACATGTTATAAAACAGCAAAAGTTATACATTTTGTTTTGTTATAAAATTTTGTTATTAACATCGTATATTAATACTGGTATTTGGCATTTCATAGTACATTCGCGTGTGTGTGTATGTGTTTGTGTATTGTTTAAGGTGTTCAGTATATTCACCTGGTCATCAGAGTTGGTTGGCGTAGGTTTATTATCTTCACTCCCGCTGTCTGAACATTCCTCTTCAAGAAGAGGCTCCAGTCTTCTTCTAAAAACATCTCTGCAGATATTCAAACTTCAAATTTAAAATTGTTTATAACTATCGATATAACATATATAACATAAATAATAATGTTGTGTACCTTGGTAATAAAGGTCTCAAGGTAGTAGGCCCGGTTATAGTTGGTGCCATTAGAAGTTCGTCCATCATTAATTCTGTATCATCATCACCAGCATAGGATGATGAAGACTTTGTAGGCGACTGAAAAATTTAAAAGTTTCTGTTCAAAAAAATTAAATGTAAAACAAGAATCTGACAGAGTTATATTTATCGCCATTAAAAAAAATGGCGGTAGAAGATATCTACCGATAGTGTTCCATGCTCGGAGTCAGGAAGATTATCAGATAAGTCTCCAGAAGAAGGTGTACCCCATGCTTCTTCACCACTAGCACCACTTCCTTCTCCAGTCTCCGCTGTTCCTTCTTCGGTTGTTTTCCAGTCACTTACACCCAAGCATCTGATGTTAATTATCAAAAAATATATATCTTTAGTGAAATATAAATAAATTAGAAAAGAAAAAGAAACATTGGAAAAATCTAAATTTAAATAGACATAATTATTAAATATTACATAATTTGCTAAGTGGACATATTATTTTACATAACCAGTTTTGCATTATAAAAAAAACTAGCTACTAGCTAACATTTAAATGTAATATCTAATCTATTACTACTATAAAATTATACTAGGTAATATTATGTTGTTCTGTGAATTATCAAAATTTTACAAGATTTTTAATACAATGGTGTACAAAATAAATAATTTCACTAGTGTCTAGATAAATTACACAATTCAAAATTTTTAACAGTTAAATCGCCACAGTAGGCATATTATTAAAACCAACTAGGAGTATAATTACATACATGGTATTTATAGTAATATAAATTAGCTCTAATAGCCTAGATAATAAGATAATTTAATTTATTGACATAAACAAAATTTTTGGTTAGCACACCCATATACTTATCGTGTTGTAATATTTCCATCGAATGTTGAAATCCAACTGAATGAAATGAAAATTAATGTTATTGTCGTGATTTAAAATAAAATAAATCTATATGTAATTTGAGATTCTGGGATAATATAATTTTGATGAACTTTTATTACATAGTAACGTATTACATATCATCTATAATCATCTCTGTCATCGACCTTTTCAGAAAAGTAATTTGGTTTCTCGGGAAGGGTAAACTTCTCGGAATTCTGCAATTCACTCGATTACTAATAAGTTATTAAAAAGTATTACTTTTTTATTATTAACTGACCTTTCTAAAAACGATGGTTGTTTGTGTGCTATTGAGGTATTGGGAACACTTTCTGTGTAGCTAAAAATATTCATTTTCTCCACGACGAAGGATCCAGCCCGCGCTGTCCAGCCCATAATACCGCTTGCTGTACCTGCTACTACTGCACATATATAAAAAGAAACACACTTGTAAAATATTTTTTTGGTGTTACATTGAAACTATTAATATTTTTTAGTATAAAATATACCTGGATTATGTATATTAGTTTCTGGCTCCTCCGTAGTCAGTCTTACGTTGCCATCGTCAGTCTCATCGGATGGTAGTCTCTCGAGGCTTGACATAGTACCATATCTGAAATGAATAATTTAAGTTATAAACTGTTTTATTTGTGTTTTTCATAATTATTACCTTGCCTAACATAAAGAGCGGTGTAATGACCGTTTTAGAGTCACTTAGGTAATGAGTTAAGATAAAAATTCATTATGTTTTGTGCAATCGTTGTTTCGCTTAAACACAAATAATTTTATTCACCGTTTGAGAGACACGTAGGGAAGATCCTCAGGTACATCTGGAGAATCAGGAGATTCATCTACAAGCGTGTCCTAGAAATAAAAAAAAACAATTTCGTATTAAAAAAACTCAAACTAGACAAAATTTAGTTTATTTATTATAGGAGTACTTACAGTCTTATTAGTGGTATTATAATCTGGAGTCGGTGGGACTACTGCTATATTAGGCACGGGAGATTCAGATTTAGCGGGACCTAGGCTACCTGGTCTTGTTATATTCGCTATATTTGTTCCCGGGACTCGTTTGAATGGTTCAACACGCATAAGGTGAGCTGCCGGGTTTATAGCTGATAACCCCATTAACATTAGAGGACCTAATTCTAAGTCATCATCAGAGCCAATTTCACTAGGATTAATGTTCGCATTAAAATCTTCAATCCTTTCAGTCTTTTTGTTAATATCTCCATTCATTTTGCTAACCGCAGATATACCCATCCTAGGAGATCTACGTTTACCCTTATCTAATTTAAAATCATTATCATCCTCGTGAATAGTATCGTCTTCTAAAAAAACTGATGATGTCTTTAAACACGTGCCCACATTTTCTCTTTTAGCTACAATATTCATACCTAATACTTTATTTAGTACGTTCTCAGCCTTTTGTCTTGTTATTTGTTCTTTTCTCACCGAATTAGGTGAAGGATAACTTGATGTAGATACTTTTGTCTTCGAAAGAGTAATATTTTCTACACATTTGATTTCATTTAAATATTTCTCCTGTGCAATAACACACTGTATTTGGTTAGCAATATTTGAACTGGACATTCTTAAGTCATTAGAACTAGAGTTAAAAACCATAGAGCTACATGTTGTATGACTAGTAGAGAGGGGACTATTATTTCTACTACTAGATGAGGGACTAGGAGTTCTGATAGAATTATCTTTTCTTAACTCCAAATGACTTTTTGTATGACTTCTACGGTTAGAATGGACACTTCGATTTAAAACAGGTGATTCAGTTTTTAGTTCATATGAAGTAGACTTGAGCATTTTCTGACTTTGCTCGATAGAATCTATTACTTTCAAGGCTGCCAAAGGAGCATCTTCTGGACGTAACTTCATAGCACCTTTACGCTCTAAGTGACAGCTAAAATTTTTTGGCTTACGATTACCACAGTTTGCACTACATGTACTATTAGAACTTTTATTAGAGTTTGAGTTTTGCGGTGAGGGTTCTGTTTTTAATTTATTTAGTTCTTTTTGACTAAGAGGCTCTCTATGCGAAATTTGTGGACTATTTGGTTTCGATAAACATTTTTTATGGCACTGTCTACACACTGGTATAGTATCTACGACTACAGGACTCGTTCTGACGGTGATCTGAAAATAAATATAATGAAAGTTTAAGCTAATGCGAATTTGCGTGAATTATGATAAGCGATGTTTCTCAATTATAAACACACCTGACTTCCCGAGTTACTGCTTTTGGAAGGACTCCTTTCGTTCTCTTTCTTCTCTCCAGGAGAGGAACCCTTATTTTCAGAAGTCTTTACAACTAGATCTGCTACTTCTAAAAGGTTTAGCTCTTTAGATCTTTTCCTGAGCTCTTCGACACTCCACATCTATTTGCAATAAAAGTTCTTTTTAAAAGAAGAAATTAATATTATTAAGAAAATCTTTTTAAGTGACTGTAAGTTATCAATTTTTTTTTGGTTAGTTGAAACATTTGTCAATTTGATAAGTATTATACATTAAATATTTACTTCGACGTCAGGTTCTGGTGGGTCCATTTCTTCAGATTCGGGAAGTTGTGTCATCCATCTTTGTAGATGAATCGTGGACCCCTTGCTTCTTGTGCTTCGAGCACCTTCAGTGGCACTCCCACCACCTCCACCAGTTTGCGTTTCCGCTGAACTTCGTCGAATCTATAATATTTTGTTTTACGATTTCAAAGTCAGCTTTAATTGATATCATTTTATTATCATTACCCATGTGGATAGTTTGTGATCAATGTCAAATTTCTGATAAATCATATTAATATAAATTAATTTTCACTCACCATTATCGATTGTGTAATTTTCAGTCATTGAAATTGAAATCTATTATGTGAGATGCCATAAAATGCGACGGATATTTTTTAAGTTAAATTAAAATAATGTGTACGTCAATGTAATCAATAATTTCTCATTTGATATGATGTACACCAAATATTATTTATAAGAAAAATGGTAAATCGTATATTAACTCGTTAGCGTCGCAAAAATTAATAACCTTTTGGGTATTATCAAATTCAATAAATAATTTCACCACTGACAAAATCACTTTATTTATGGAATATACTGTTGTGATCTAAACATAAACATCCAAATTCGTATATTATATTTTAGATCCATTAAATGTCACCAAGAAATCCAGAACTATAAGTAAATGCTTTCTCAAAATTATTTTTTCATCATAATCTATAACACTATATTAAAATTTACACACAGCCAAAGACATCGAAAATTATTGATTCTAACTACGAGTTTAATTTTGTAAAAAAGAAGGTCATATAAATATAAAAAGAACCCGGACATAGGTTATGTGAACATTTTGCGATGCTAGCGAATACGCACAAAGTATCTAATTTTATATTACAATTTTACTATTAATAATGTGATTTACATTGTATGTTCAATAATACACTAAGAAACAAAAAAGCAGTAGCTAAAATTATTATACATTATAAATTTATACCGACTACCATTTTTCTTAATAAAATACATTTTAAATCTAGGCGAAAAGTGCATCAGACATGAGAAAGCGTTGAGAAACAAAAACAAAATTGCATTAGACAATCTACAATGGTGTCTACATGATTTAACTTTCGCGAAGCTGATCGCCAAATATCCACATGACCTGTACAAGTGATTGTTATCGTATGTACAGATTAACATAGTATAACTATCATGCTTTGAAACATCAGTTCTTAGGTAAAATTTGCATCTAAGAAGCCACAGTCCCTGATAAGTTCATTAGTTACATATTGATTTTGCGATTAAGAAGTGTTTAAGTAAGTTAACTTCTGATTTGGTTTTTCTGAAGAACAAGCAGTAGAAAGTCATAAAAGGTAAGGGACGGAAGACTTATAAAACAAAAGTATATAAAAAGGAGCAAATTTTGAAGTCTTAATGCATCATTATATTTGGTACCCTACAGTTACATTTCAATTTGACACTGATTTTAATTATGTTAAAATATAAATTGGCAATACACTTTTAGTTAATATTTAGGCGTGTTGTACTTGTGATTACCCCATTTTGATCGTTCAGTTCTGTGATTGCATTAATTTCTTCATATTTATATAATTACACTGCAATTTCATAAGTGGGTATCAGACTTATTAATAGTTCTTCTATTATAATCAAAATACCGACATTTCTTTTCAATACTGCTAATGTTCGAAAATATGTCTCTCAAAATTTTTTTTAACCACAACCTTATTATCAACTATAAGCAAATCTATAACAATCCAACAAACTTCGCTTACGCTGCGCCTTTCGGCGTGCTTACACGACGAAAGCATTCGGCACCTGCAGTTCTTCTTTTCCTAAATATCAGCTATAAAAATGACAAGTCTACTGGAACACCATTGAAAGGTCAGTGTTGTTTTTATCTCCATCTTGTTCTAGATCTCCGAGGGTAGCAGGAGTCTGCTAACTCCGGATCTGACTCCGCGGATCAAAGTTCTAAATACGCGGGTGGGGTAGGCCTTTCTGGAAGTACACGAGGCAGAAGAGGATCATCGGGCAAGAAAATACGTTCTTCTACTGCATGTTTATAAGAGGGGTCAACGTCTAAGTCCGCTAATGCCAAATCAGCTTCAAAAGATTCCCATCTACATGGGGAAGCTGCTGAGTAGTCTTCAGCACCATCAGGAGTGAGTTGAGCACTTGGAGACGTAGCCCGTTCCTCATTTTTCTCAATACTAGATGAAGATACGAAATGTGAAGAGAAGGTTTGAGAATCAGCGGGAGATAAATTCGCTGATGGAGTTTCAGGTGTAGGAGCGGTCCTCCATACGGTACTAAGAGGACCCCTGACAGGTTGTGGTGATCTCGTAGGTGAGGCAGAATTGGTTCGAACATCAAAGCTAACTCGTACTTCTTTTTCGTGTCGTTCCTCTACGAGCATATTAAGGTGCGAGCGATAGGAGCTGGCGGGTAAGAGAGCCAGACTCGAGTGCCGTTGAATGCTGGACGCCGATACCTGGCGTTGCTGTGAGTCCAATGTCGCAAGAGAAAACGTCAACTGGGGATCAGGTGAATCCAGCGGGGAACCCAACGGTGTACCAGTCATAGTGTGAGCGCGATATCTGCAAATAAAAATAATTGTTTCAGCAGTTTTTAAGTAAGGTTAGTCGTCTACAGTAATAGACGACCTTATAAGGCGGGAACATATGTATAACATTTATTTAACTAATTTTCTATAGATTATGTTAAAGAAACAGTTAACTCACATTTGACGCTGCAGCAAACTTTGCCAGACCGCCTTCAAGTCTATCGAAGGTGCTCGCAGTACAACTGTTCGAGTACGACTAGGCGTTCTTGGTGCACAAGACACTAATGGACTTTCACCCCCTGCACGTCCCAGTATTAACCGGAATTCCGTAGCTGAAAAAATAAATAAATATAACTATCGTTTTTATATACACACACATAAGAAAATGGAGTAATTTAACGAATAATGCTCATCTGGTTATTTTGTTAACTTATTTCTTACAAAAACTGTTTTAGTTTTGAACAAAACTTCATTTAATTTGTTATAACGAAGAATATGACTATGGTAGTAGTGTGGGCTAATAAAACACATTTAATAAATATTAAAATTACAAATACAGACAAATTTAAAAAGGAGGTCTGTCCAGCTGCTTGCCACCAATAATGATTATAAAAACAAGATAGATGTTATATACTTGGTTAAGAATATCGGTCATATATAAAATTGGTAGTTCATTTATTCGTTCATGAAATAGGCTTATAGGATGTTCCTTGATGGGCCTATAATAGATTCAAATAATACCTTTCTTTCTAACGTTGAATTGTGCTTCGGACACAGTTCCTAATGCCACGGGCTCCTCAGTAACAAAAAGCACTCTATCCCTTGATACAGTGGCGAATAGAAGTAGGTCTGAGAATAACAAGGCCCAGTATGGCCTTACTGCTCGACCCTCTACTCTAGACAATTCTCCGCCGAAAATCCACTGTCTTCCAGCTGTGCTTAGCACGAATGGCTGAAATCAAAGATTACATAAATCAGAAAATATTTTTGCTATAGACAGACTTTATTGTTGTTATTTTCCGAATTTAAGACCTAATGCCATGTGATTATATAGTGTTATCAAGTTTAAAATAGTTTATATTGTGTCGTATTAATCATGTTACGTTTATTTTTTATACTTACTTTACACCTAGTGAACACGAGTCTACTTTCTAGATCTGAGACGGAAAGCAATGGTTTTCCATCTCCAGCCAATCCCATCAGTCCTGAACCCGCAGTTACATCTTGATACCCACACTGAAATCATAAAATACATTGTAAAATATGTAGAGCTTAGAGACTCTTTGTTAATAATGAGCTGACCAAAAATCTAATCACAATTGAAAGAACCATTTTGTTTTAATGATGGTTCACTAATTTAAGCCTCTTTCTCGAAATTTAATTTTTAATTACCTGTAGCTGTTCCACAATGACTTGTAGCTGCTTTTTCTCTAGTTGGTCATATGGACCCGAACCATTGGCTGCCGCAGCTGCCCGCATAAGTCTTAAAAGCTCTCGGAACTGTTCTAAAGGTTTGTGTACCAAAGACGTGATGTCTGGCCTTCTTCGGGGAATGGGAGGGCTTGTGCAGAAGCGAGAGAATGCACCGCTCGGGTCTTTTGATTTTTTTACCTGATAAAAACACATAATTTTAAAATAGCGTTCGGTTCTTTTTGCCTGTGCCTCTATGGTAATTTGCGAGTTATTTTGTTGCAATTTAACTCAAATGCTATATTCATTCAGTGAATAATATTAAAGCGATTGTTTATTAGAATGTTTGATGATGGTGTCAAACTTACCAATACGCAGTCTGCTCTTTTCAATCCTAGACAATATTTCTTATATAGACTAAGGAACACAGGGGTCTTCTGCAAGTATACCGCTACCACGGTCGACGTTTGGATTTCACCATCGTCTTGCACCACTTGGTCCAGAATATCTTCCGACAATCGGAAGATCTGTTTGATACAAAAAAAAAACAATAATCATATAATATATATTTCAGATAATATTCGTCGGAGTTTGTAAATTTGCAAAAAAATAATTATTTGTTTCATCACTTTATAGGAAAAAAGATTCTCTCCTCATAGATTCTATTGAATGGGAGGTTTATTTTTAATTCTAATATGTTTAAACATAGTACTGTATATTTTCTCGTGTTATAGTGTATAATAAAAGTATTATTAACAAAATAAACGTTTATACTTTGAAAATAGACTGCGATAATTGGATGACGTTAGAAAATTGTAGATTTTATTTCTCAGTCTATATAACTACAAAATGGAACAAATAGCTTACGATAGTCATATTTTATTTGTTCTTTGTTATAGATGACTTTCTTAGTCGAATTCAGGGTACTGATCTTTATTGAAATGTTTATACTGAATCTGGAATGGAGTTTAATTTGGCGTTCATAAAGTTTTTTTTTAATCTTCTTAAATCTGTTGTAAGTTATTAAAGGTTTTCAGGTTATTCCCATACCGAGCCTATTTGAGCTTACATATTTGACTTGGTTATTGTTTTCGGTGCATTATCTAGCAGTAGTATCTTATGATTTCACACATTCATTATAAAGATCATTTGTTGCATTATTTCTAAGTTTTATGATATTTGGAATTATTGTAAACAAACCTCTTCAATGTTTTGAAATAAGAGCAGGTGGTCATTGGGAGCAATGAGGTCAGCTCTCTCAGCTAGTGGCGATACGAATCGCACCAGCCCGAACTGCAGACACGTGGCGTAGTGCTGCTCTCTCGCTACTAC